CTGTTAAAAAGTTCCATTTTGTACTTATTAACAGGAAATATTCTTGTACAAAAAATTATACAAGTGTTCCGTCAACTACAGGATATTTCAATCATGATCGTAGTTAAAATAAATTACATTACTCTGTTGTATACTTATCTACAAACTGTTTAAGCTTATCTACATCTTGAAGANTTTGTTTACGTTTAATCATATTTTATCTTGTATGTTGTGTAAATGACATTAACGCTACTTCGAACTATTTATAAAATTAAGACTCGGTGGCATTACGTTTAATAGTCTATCTAGAATGGGATCTTTTAATTGTAAATAAGGTATAAATTAATTCACATTGTAGTCGCATCGGACAATAATGTCGACCAAATACAGGAAACTAACGAGCAGAAAGTAACACAAAAAAGGAAAAGAAAAAGAAAACAAAAGTCAAATAGCAGCCATAATACAAATGGTACTAATAACGAAAAAAATGATGGAGAAGCAAATGATTTTGTTAGTGTACAAACAAATAAGAATGAACAAGATTCAAATGATGAAGCAATCTTCCCCAAAAAACTTCAAAGATCAACGTAAAGTATTTTTATCTACGTTGCCATTTCTAACTTTTAAGTTTTCAGAATTTTTTGATAACTTTTTATGTTTTAGTGTTACAAATGCAGAGAGTGATCCAGACAATATAGAAGGTGAGGAAAATGAAATAAAGAAACCAAAGCACCCTTCTAAGAGACAACTAAAAAGGGAAAAGGCTGAGAAGAAAGAAAATGAAAAAATTGAAGCTAGCAGACTGGAAGTAATGAAGAAGGGACTGAATTACGTCTCAAAGGTGTTTTATCGAAATTCAGAAAAACGAATTTAAGTAACCATTTATCGTAATTACATTATTTTTATTTACAGTGGAAACATGCAAGAAGCGAATGGAAATTTGAGAAGCTGAGGCAAATTTGGTTAATAGATAACTTATTAGATGAAACTTGCATTCCAGATGACATTTTCCCCACAGTTCTAGAATATTTTGAAGGGTGCAAAGGAATGGCAAGAGAACAACTTCTAAAAAAGGGTATGGACGTTATAAAGAAAATAGAGGAGAACGAGAAAAACAAGGATGAAATGGAAACTGTTGCTTATCAAAGGGCAAGACAGCTTTTGCAAGCTTTACCTACTGAAACATAATTAGCTCAGAAAACATACTAAAGAGTCAGATCATTTTGTACTTCACATTGATTAATGATCATTAGATGTATTAGCAAAATTAAGTGTTAAGTGTTGAATTTCAGCATCGTTTTTAATTGTATATTTATAAATTTGTAGTTATTCTCTTTTCATTTTATAATGACATCTTCACATTTGAAACTCATAAATTTTGTTGTACATGTAACTGTATTAAGTATTTGTAAATAATAAAATTTATCAGTTTATTACACGTACAAGATTTATTTAACAATTTCAACAATTCCCTATAAATTAAGGGCTATACACTGTTAAAAAGTTCCATTTTGTACTTATTAACAGGAAATATTCTTGTACAAAAAATTATACAAGTGTTCCGTCAACTACAGGATATTTCAATCATGATCGTAGTTAAAATAAATTACATTACTCTGTTGTATACTTATCTACAAACTGTTTAAGCTTATCTACATCTTGAAGACCAACAACACGTTCTAAAACCTTTCCGTCCTTCATAGCAATTAATACTGGTACAGAACCAACCTGTGTACAAATATTATGTTTGTAACATAAATATTTTAATAATTACTTTAGTTCAAAATTGTTTTCTTTTTGAACTGACCTCGTAGTCCAAAGCCAAGTCACTGTTCTCGTCAATATCGACTTTCGCTAACAAAACTTTTCCCTGCTTTTCCGCGATTACTGATTCTATACGTGGTGTGAGCATGCGGCATGGATTGCACCATCTACAACAGAAATTGCAACATTAGAGATTACTACCCTTAAAAACAAGTTGCAGGTATGGAAAAATAAATCCACGTACGTTGCAAAAAAGTCAACGATCACAGGCACCTTGGACTTCTTTACGCGATCATCAAAATCTTTTGTATCCTGAACTTTAAAGGCTGTCGAATCTGTTTGTGCCTGGGCCGGTGCATTTGCAAAACTTCTGCTTCCTAAAGCGCTGCGAACAGTTCTAACTCCGACACGCAACATTGTTTCTCAGGTATTTTTTAACACACACTTTTGTAGCAACGAGTAATATCTGAAGTGATAACGTTGTTAGTATAAACGTTTCCTAAAACGCAATACACAACAATACGTCTTGATCTAACCTGTCCTCGCAGGAATACACTGTAATGGAATACACCGCGGATAAAGTAGGTTGCATCGATACGGTGTAAAAGCATGATAACCAACATTACAGAGCAAGAATATGATTTTTGAAATTTTTTATTCTGATAAAATTAATTCAAAAAAATTTTCATTGAATAAGGATTATAGAAAATGTACGTACAATTTAAAAATTTTCTGCACCCGTTTGTATGCATTTTTGTAAATTAATTAACGTTTTGAGGAAGCTTTGGAGATTTCAGAGAATGATTCACAGAAACTAGAATACAGTAAAAGTTTTTAAAGCCTTTCATCGTTAAATTTATACTACTTATTGTTTTGTCAAATTTTGAAGAATGTAAACGACTTACTTATTAAGCTCTATTCAACTATTTTCTATCTGATCTAGCTTATATGCAACCAGAGGAAATTTTTTCCCTGATGCATCTAACTAGTATATCGTAAGGGGCTGCAGCTAAATAGCATAAGCTAAGGGGCTCCAAGTATGAAAACTTTTCTTTTAGGCAATTTAATTATCTTACCCTGGATTTCGTAAACATTCACATTCGGAAACCTTCGCCAGTGACCTATTTTTATTTTCGGATCCTCTATTTGCAAATCGAGGGTGATGTTGCAATCATTCAAACATGCGTCACGCATCGTGACACCTAAGGGCGATGTATTGTCTACGCCCGGAAACGCATTTGCGACACATTAAACGCATTATCGACTGAGCTACCGCAGGAACCTCTATAGTCGGCTGCAAAAGACTTTGCTGCGCGTTTAATTATGTTGCTAAAGCGGCCGTGAAGCTACCACTTTAATTTTATTCCTTTTCAACTAGCGTTAAAATAAACAGAAGAGCGACCTTAATCCATTCCAATAACCTTCATAAAGATGGTTAGCTTTCTTCATCCCTTTTATCCATAGACCAATGCCATGTTGGATTTTTTGGCTACATTTCTACATTCATAAATTAAATAATTTCATAGAAATTGTACTCGGTAGAGAATGTGTCAGAGAAGTGACTAAAATCCGGCTATATATGCGACCTATCCAAGTGGCATCGCGACTGATATCGTTCCCCGGTCATAATCGAGTTTACTTTCTGGCGAATTACAGGAAAATCGATTCCTCTGGGTTCTCTATTCTTTGGAAAAAATCGAATGCAGCTATCACGTGACGATTGTGAGACGAATTAGTTTATAATATCGTCTGCTACTGTCGGGCGTAAACAACACTGACTATAGCCCATTCATTACAGTCTATTATTGAATTCGCGACTAATTATATAACTCGATGACGAGTACATATCCAAGGTACACCGAGTGTTTTCGTCATCCGAGTTGCTGTATGCTGGTTTAATTACTGAATTGAATCATTTGGGCGGCGAACCTCGCGCTTGCTGTTACCAACTACCACGTGCATCCTTTAATAGCACCGGCATAGCACTGAAACAAATTCGTGGAGCTGTAACTGGCATTCTGAACAAGGACACATTGATAAAAACTATGGCAGACCATTCTTCTACAGATTTTTCAAACTGACCAATTCTTCACCTTTTCCAAAATAAGCCTGCTTTTTACTTCTTTTCAGAAACTGAAAGATTCAATGACAATATTTAGTGATATTCTCGTTTAGTAGATATTTTAATAAATGTTTTAAATTATAGACTCATAAAGATGACAGATTGTAGGCAGACCTAATATTTATAGTCACTCGATTATTCTATTAAATTCCGAGCTTTTGTTGGACAGTCCATTTTATCCGTTCTCTCAGTGACAATTATAGTCGTAGCAATAATAGGTCATTTAAGCAGCTGCAGTATTTGTTTTCCAATTGACTACCTTTGATCCTTCCACATCATGGTTACGTAAAAAGAAAATACGTTAGGTAACTAACTGTTTACTCCGTGACGCTGGACACCTGTGAATTAAAGGAGGAGCCGATGAGAATTTTTCGAGCATGGTGAAAATGATCCTTGCCAATCCGTTCGGTTGGTAATTAAATAAAGAGCATGGATCGCGTGTGCGATCATTCTCGTTTCTTCTTTGGAAAGTAACAACGGGTTGCCTTCGTATACGTAGCTACATACGTCGTAGGAGATCGATCCTCTGATTTTCTACGTTCAATGATTCAATGCACGAGCTCGTCTGGCTTCGTTAATTCCATTTCGACGTTACGCGAAGTAAAAATCTGTTGCGCAAGTTGTTCCTGGTTATACGACAGGGCGCACTTACGAAAATAACAGATTTTCACCGTGGGAAAGCCGCTTGTACGCGAGCAGGTACGCCTGAGGACGAGACAATTGTCTTCTCCCTCCCTAGAACAATGTCGCGACAGTGAGGAAGCGTTCATATTGCCATAACGTACACACAAGAATAATCGTTCTTCGCAATACCATTAATCTTACGCTTTGACCCAGCCGTTATCTTCTGATCTGTCATTCTCAGACTTCATATTATTATTCCTAGAAAATCTGGCACTTATGTATCGCAATTAGAACTTTAATTCAGCTTACACAAGCTGAGCAAAACAAACAGAGTTAAAGCCGTATGTTATCTCGCAACCAGAATAACAGAGTCTTTTTGATTTTAAATGGATTACTCTAAGCTGAGGAGTCAGATGAAGCACTAGAAAGCTCGTGTCAAAATATCTTCAGCCAGCTGTCGTACCAGCTATTCTCAGATGTTCATAAATATGCAGAATAAAGGGAACAACGCCGTAATTAATACTGTTCCCAGATATCAATCAATTTGCACAAATATTTGTAAGGAGCAGGCAGTAAAAAGAGCTTAGCGTAATTACGTGTCTGCGCATAAATGTATAGCGTAAGAAGAGGCGCTGGTTAATGCTTCCTCTAAGCTTACAATTTCGCGACCTACACCGTATCGCCTCAGCGGTAATCAATTTAAATGGATGCAACGTTTCGTAACGCATTCTCCAAACAGAACGATGAAGTGGGTGATAATGGAAAAACGAAAGTTTTAAACCGCGTATTGGATTTACTCATTGCGAGAGGGAAAGACTGGCTCTCGATTAATTCCTCGAGCAATTAATAAGTCGATCGTCGCTCGTTCCCCACCTGTGTCCACAAAAAGGGTGCCTGATCAATGGAACGACTGTCGGTGCTGGTGCTGGCCGATTAAAATGGATGGGATGGCGCAACGAATCATGAAACGGTATGACTCGTGCCATTAGGCTCAACGCAGATAGTCGCTTTTGTCTTCAAGGTCCCGGCCACCTTGGTGTTCGGACCTTTTCCTCCGCAATCCTACGAACGATTCTGAGCGGGCTGCCGAGCGTGTTCGAGAATTGCGCAAACGACCGTCGGTTGTTTCCTTATACGAGCTTCTCCGCAAAAGCGCTCGTACGTATTTACACCTGTAAAACAATTTCTGTTCTTTTCACGTTGTAGACAGTCGAATTTAATATTCATACGTTGTTTTTGTGTCGAGGACTTCGCGCAAAATACCTTCCTTCGTCCAACAAACGGTTGAAGTTACGTAATTAATGGACTGTGGAACCTGCAGCTGACCCGATTGCCTAAAACACGTTGCAGTAAAAAGTTGTATGAAGTTTAATGTGGTTTTTATCTGTCTATTGATAGTCTAGAATCTTGATGAGGTGCTTTGTACCTTTGGAACCTGATAATCCACGAATCAATGCGTTCTATGTTCCTTTTTCAACTCCTTGACTTCAATTAAAACGCGAGGGTACTTCCAGATGGAAATATTATTAAAGGGCAACGGATTGACAGTTCTCCTTGTTCTCCATCGAATGAAATCTGTCAGCGAATTGTCGCGAACAGGCGGCGCGATAGAAAAGCCCCTAGAAAAAACAGAATAGGGGTTCTGAATGGAGGGACTCGACCCGTAATCGCGCGGAATAGAAAGGCCAGGGGTTTCTACGGGGTCACCATGGCATAGGCAGTTCTATGGGGTGAGGAAATCATAAAGGGAGAACCGTTGGTCGTTATGGTAACCGTCGATCTAGGATTTCATCTAGTCGGCATCACGCTGACTAGAATAGGTGACCTACTGCTCCCGAGAAATCTCGGTTCTACGAGTCCAACGTATTTTCATAAGCGCAAGCGGATGCGGAGTGCCCGTGACGTGTTGATTGTGAAGCTTGCTACACATTTATTTAATTCTCGTTCATTCCTTGTATCAAGTTTATACAATCCTTCACTGTTCTTGAAAATGTAGATTCTTATTTCAATCTTAAATTCTCATACATCTCCAGAAAAAGAAGTTATTATTTTGATTATTTTTCTTCCTATCGAGTTGATATTTCGAACGAAAGCGATCTTCGCTTCGAGATTCAAATTGATGTTTCGAAAGCATTCTGCAAACAAAGGATAAGATGTTAGTACTCTGATATTGTGGAACTTTTGGGGCGAACGTTCCAATTCAGAAGCAAAAGTGGCCTGATCTTCAGATTCCAACAGGTGTCTACATCGACGTTTTTCGATAAATAAAAAAATGTTGGTAGAAAATTGTAGTCACGTAGCGTGAACGGTGCCAACTTCTGATAAACTAGCCAACGACAACACGGGGAGCCGGGCACGTTCGTAAACGTTTAGCGTGTTAGCTCTCCTATTGGATCATTACCGCTTCGGAGCCCAAAGCGACAGAGGATTCGAGGCTTCCAGTAGATTTTCACGCTTCGCCGGGGAACGCAGTCTGTCTAATCAAATTGCACGACGTTTCACGGAACACCAAGCGTTCGCACGCGAAAAATATTCAGTGAACGCCTGGCTTCTGAACCGTCTGTCGAACCCTTTCCATTACTTCTAACGTGTAACCGAATAAACTACCGTTCGAATTTCAGATGTCTCCGCTGTGAAATCGAATAACGTTTTAATCTACCGTTCATCGATTCGGCAACACCCCATACGAGAAACTTTGCGGATCAAGTTCCGACAAAGCTGATGGAACCGTGATCGATGAGAGATGGGCCGCAATGCTGCTCGTGCAATCATGGATGTCGTGTTAGGCTTGATTCGTTACCTAGTTTATCTATTATAGATTTTCTATTAGAAAAAACTTTCCAGAGAATGTAAATGTTTTTCGAACAGTACGAGGCGTAGACGACTTTCGCATTGTCTGTGCGGAAACGATTCAATTGAGCTTATTTTCAGAATAGTTTGAGATGTAGATCGATTTTCGCGATGGATGTACGTAATTTAGTGGGAAACCGATTCGATCGCAAGTGCGAACGGGCGGTTCTAGCCGGAGGTGCCGTTTGTCCTAGTTTCGCCCTGTTTTTTCCCTTTTCTTCTCGTTTCGGTGCGATGCGCCCATTATGGCACGCAGCACGAAAACGCCAATCGGCGATCGAGTACACCGAGAACTTCTTATCACGTGATATTCCGTGCACCAGGGTCGTGCAAAATCTCAAACAGTGCATAGTGCATCGACGCTGCACTCCTAGCGTCTCGCTAACAGCCGTCACGACGTTGATTCTCCCTTTCTATGACGCGCCACGGAATGACCTAATTTCGATTCCACCGAGTGCATAGAATGCTCGGCAAACATCCGACGGAAACACTAGAATCACAAAAAATGACATGCTTTTAGCGCTGAGCTATTCTACAAGAAATGTAAATAAATAAAAATTACTATCTCCTCTATTTCGTATGTTGTATGATATGCAGGAAGCTTCTTAGTTTATACTTAGTAATTAATTGATAACCTTGGTCGTTTGGATACCGCAGTCAAAGATAATGTCTTATCAACATTAGTATATCGCACATAATTGTATGCTAATGAGCAGGGAAATTCCATGATGCGTAGTTGTGCGGTCTGTTTAATCTTTGGGTAGTTCCCTCCAAGGAAAGCATTAAATACAATTTGTATTTGCTTGAATTTTTCAAGAGGATTGTCAACATTGTGGAAGCCTCTTTTGTTCGAAAAGGTGAGCTCGTTGCCGGGTTAGGGGAACGAGCGCAAGGACGACGTTGACACAATTAAAAGAGTCTAGGACAAATATTTGACCATGCGAATTTTCATTCTCTGGAGGTTCTCGACAGATCTAGGGCTCTCGTAGATCGCGTGCCTCGCGTGATCCGCGGATCGTTTAGCGTCGGGTTCTGCTTTTATTACTTTAGATCCTGGATAGAGACGACCCTTGCCAGCTCTCTTTGTACGCTGCGGTCTCCTCCCTCGGTTTAATGAAATTACCGGTATAGAGTAAAGTTGACGTAGACACGAACCGCCTCGCGAGCCATTCTCGCCTTGAGACGTCCAGGAAGTTCAGCGGCTCGATAAGCTGGAAGCGCAATTCCCTCGGACCCGGCAAAAATCCTCGACGAAACTCACTGACCAATCCGTTCACGGTGTCGGGTTGTTTAAAATCAAAGGTAATCTGGCGTAGCCGGGGTGCGAAGCTTCCAGTTAACCGGGGACCTTCGGAGCCATCATCACTTGTCGAATTTTACGGCTATTCTATCTATAGGAAGCAAAGTATCCAGATGGGAGACACGATTCTATACCACAAGAACAATTCATATGCTCTTGAAGCTTACAGAGAAGGCTTCCAGATTCTATCCATGAAAACGAAGGTGTCCAATTAGGAGATACGATATTGCACCCTAAGTACATTTCATATGATCTTGAAGCTTAGAGAGAAGGATCTAATGCTCTTTCTTCTTCGATCTCGAGATTCTTCTTAAAGTTAGAGTTAATGAAAGCTTCTGAAACGTCAGCTGACTAATTTTACGAGATGGATACACAGGCGAGAACAGGCAATAAACTTCTGTGTCACGCCTCTCGATTAGAATCCGTAAATTGGGAATGATCGTGAAGACCACTATTCTTTGACCATCATAGTTTGTGAGTGAGGGCACGCGATTCCTTGCCAGCACAATATCCATTAGCGGGAGCTTTGTGGAATGATAAGCTAGCCAATCGGACTCTAGATCATCCAATCCCGATCGAGCGACGTTCATTTCTTCCCTTAGCGGTTCTGGGTGTGTTATCGTTCGTTCTGGCCGGTTTCCTCCTTTCGTTTCTAATCCGCGAACCGCCTAGCCCTCTCTTCCTGCTTCGACGGTTCTATTTTCAACGGCGCGCCGCACCGGAGCAACGTGGATTTTAGTAGGCCACTGGGAAACGGCGTGGCGAAGCAAGACGAGGCGCGGCCCCTGCCTCTCCTCGTATACGGCGAATTCGCGCATTTATGCTCGTTAAATCAGGCTGACTAATTTCCCTCGCTACATCCTATTTCTTCCGTTTATGGCTCGGCCAGCGGAACTCGCTCCAACACACGGTCCCACCTTGGAAAATTATTCTGTTGACCTTCGACGGCGAATTCCTTCGTTGGCTTATTCCAGGCACGCGACCGCTGTCGAGGAAAATTCAAACACCTGTTAAGGACACTCCAACTTTATCTGGAGCAAAGTCAGTGGTCGCTAAAAATTTAGACTTTGTAAGATTGATTAGGTTATGGAAACGAGAACAAAACCTTGATGTGCCTATTCGCCTAAATAAACAATTTGTTGTCTGCTGGTTATCAACACGAGCCGGTAATAGTCTCCAGTTTGGGGTATGTCCTTCTTTTTCTTGAACCATATTCTTTGCACAGAAAAAGGAAGCTGTTGTCGTTAACGAATTTCTCTAATGAGAAGCAAGAGAAACGAGAGCTTAAACTCCCTCTAATTAACTCGGCTCCAATATTTAAGTTGTTACTTGATTATTTCGCATTTCGCGATAGGGGAACCCACGAAATCGATTCGCACAGGTGTGCAAAATCAAACAGCACGATTTAATCGTGTTTTCACACTTGAACCGTTGGCAAGCCGAGGGCAAATTGCCAGAATTCGCGCGAAGTGAGTCTCGAGAGCTGCGAAACGACGAAAGTTTACACCGACGGACCAAAGAACAAATAATTCGACGACACGCCTCCCTCGGTTTTAACTGGGAAACTTCGATACGATTTACGAGCGCACTTTCGCGATACACCGAACGGATCGATGGATCCTGGGGCCATCGAACTTTCGGTGCTTTAATGCGAGAAAGGAAAGTCGGAAGCGGGGCGAACGGATGCCGAGGAATCGACCAAATGGATGAACCGAGGGTGGCGAGAACCGCGAAAGAAATGTCCAAATAAATGGACTCGCTGTCGATTCTAACAGCAGGTTACCACCGGACAGATTCGAATAATTCCTGGCCGATGTCTCGTCAGCCAGAATTTATCTTCATCCTGCTCGATCGTCTGTAATTCTTCTCGTGTTCGTGCGAAAGGTATGTAACTGCTACCGTATATATTTCTGCCATCTGCGTTTCTCGCGACGCTTCTTGCAACCCTTCATTTCACCATCGGCTTTATTTTCAACCTGCTCCAATTGAAGCCGTCCACCGTGCCCTGCTGATCAACTAACAGAACCTGCTGCACGATTCTCTGTATAATTTTGACCCTCCTGCCTTATTTTCCGCACGCAATTTATCCTTTAGCGTCAACGCGACGCGACGCTTGCTAAATTTATGAATTACTTTCCTGAAAAATGAAAACGATATTAGAGTTCATTTTGGACTGTCCGTTTAGAAGCAAATAGGAAAACAACGAATTAATCAAAATTGTCTACATCTATATTGCAAGAAACGGGAGTAACTTAGTAGTTTATTTTTACCTTTAATTATTTTAATAGGTCAATAGTACTGTAGTAATACCTTTCAATTCTTTTGCACATCATATTGATTAAAATAACAGCTAATCATTTTTGTCAAAAATAACATTCGGCAGCAGCATTTCCTGACTCCAATAACTGTAAAATAAAAGATAAAATAATGAATAAATTATTGAATAAAGTAAAATATTGCAAATACTTTTAGTGCTTGGTTGGTTTAGTGTTATAAAAAAAGAGCTTCGTTAATCTTGTTCATATTTCAAGTTGCGTTCACGTGGTAAAATAAACTGGAAAGCGTTGCGAGGGGAAAGCTTCGTTGACGAAGACGGTGGCTACATCCGATTAGGCTATTCCGATTACGATTCGAGCTACGTCTCTGTCGCATCGCGTCGCGTCTTGAGAAGATGAGTATAACGGAAGTGAGCAACGAGTAAGTGGAATCGGCGAATTGTTCATTGTCCGACGTGGTTCAATGTCGGAACAATGGCCGTCGGACGAATTACCTCGACGCGAAATCAAGGAAAAAAAGTGTGCCATGACACGGAATTTTTTCTGTTTATTTTCAGTGCGACGCGTCGCTGCGTCTTGATGGTGGAGGATGTGGAACTGCGTCGACGTAAAGGCACGACAAGGTCGCCAATCGTTTTCAAGCCTACGGACGCGCTCGGCACAATATGTATTTATTCATTACTCTGAATACTCGGTTGATTAGTCAAGTCGGTGTAAAAATATATCGTCCGCGGTAATTTTCCACGATCTTCCAGGATATCGAGCAAAAATCTAATCGTCTTCACCTTATGTGTCCGATAGGAGAACTCTCTCTCTCTCTCTCTCTCTCTCTCTCTCTCTCTCTCTCTCTAATTATCTGCGGTATATTATGCAATAATGTNGCAAATTGCCAGAATTCGCGCGAAGTGAGTCTCGAGAGCTGCGAAACGACGAAAGTTTACACCGACGGACCAAAGAACAAATAATTCGACGACACGCCTCCCTCGGTTTTAACTGGGAAACTTCGATACGATTTACGAGCGCACTTTCGCGATACACCGAACGGATCGATGGATCCTGGGGCCATCGAACTTTCGGTGCTTTAATGCGAGAAAGGAAAGTCGGAAGCGGGGCGAACGGATGCCGAGGAATCGACCAAATGGATGAACCGAGGGTGGCGAGAACCGCGAAAGAAATGTCCAAATAAATGGACTCGCTGTCGATTCTAACAGCAGGTTACCACCGGACAGATTCGAATAATTCCTGGCCGATGTCTCGTCAGCCAGAATTTATCTTCATCCTGCTCGATCGTCTGTAATTCTTCTCGTGTTCGTGCGAAAGGTATGTAACTGCTACCGTATATATTTCTGCCATCTGCGTTTCTCGCGACGCTTCTTGCAACCCTTCATTTCACCATCGGCTTTATTTTCAACCTGCTCCAATTGAAGCCGTCCACCGTGCCCTGCTGATCAACTAACAGAACCTGCTGCACGATTCTCTGTATAATTTTGACCCTCCTGCCTTATTTTCCGCACGCAATTTATCCTTTAGCGTCAACGCGACGCGACGCTTGCTAAATTTATGAATTACTTTCCTGAAAAATGAAAACGATATTAGAGTTCATTTTGGACTGTCCGTTTAGAAGCAAATAGGAAAACAACGAATTAATCAAAATTGTCTACATCTATATTGCAAGAAACGGGAGTAACTTAGTAGTTTATTTTTACCTTTAATTATTTTAATAGGTCAATAGTACTGTAGTAATACCTTTCAATTCTTTTGCACATCATATTGATTAAAATAACAGCTAATCATTTTTGTCAAAAATAACATTCGGCAGCAGCATTTCCTGACTCCAATAACTGTAAAATAAAAGATAAAATAATGAATAAATTATTGAATAAAGTAAAATATTGCAAATACTTTTAGTGCTTGGTTGGTTTAGTGTTATAAAAAAAGAGCTTCGTTAATCTTGTTCATATTTCAAGTTGCGTTCACGTGGTAAAATAAACTGGAAAGCGTTGCGAGGGGAAAGCTTCGTTGACGAAGACGGTGGCTACATCCGATTAGGCTATTCCGATTACGATTCGAGCTACGTCTCTGTCGCATCGCGTCGCGTCTTGAGAAGATGAGTATAACGGAAGTGAGCAACGAGTAAGTGGAATCGGCGAATTGTTCATTGTCCGACGTGGTTCAATGTCGGAACAATGGCCGTCGGACGAATTACCTCGACGCGAAATCAAGGAAAAAAAGTGTGCCATGACACGGAATTTTTTCTGTTTATTTTCAGTGCGACGCGTCGCTGCGTCTTGATGGTGGAGGATGTGGAACTGCGTCGACGTAAAGGCACGACAAGGTCGCCAATCGTTTTCAAGCCTACGGACGCGCTCGGCACAATATGTATTTATTCATTACTCTGAATACTCGGTTGATTAGTCAAGTCGGTGTAAAAATATATCGTCCGCGGTAATTTTCCACGATCTTCCAGGATATCGAGCAAAAATCTAATCGTCTTCACCTTATGTGTCCGATAGGAGAACTCTCTCTCTCTCTCTCTCTCTCTCTCTCTCTCTCTCTCTCTCTAATTATCTGCGGTATATTATGCAATAATGTTTGTAGTCAGGCCGTGGAGGGCTAAAATCGTTCCTTTATGTCCGACTATAAACCTGAGCTACTTAAGGCGACTCTAGAGCCGCGATTTGTAACGTTTGCACGTGCCTGCAGGAATCCTCTGATGCACCTGCGCGTAGCCGCGAGGCAAACCGCGAGATCGTGACGGTTTCGCGAAGGATCCGCGTATGAAATTCACGGACGTATCCATTAGGACGTGGGTGTCACGGCGAAATCTTGAAAGGAGGATTTCTGGGACTGCGGTTTACGTTTCGCGGAGGTTACGACGGCGCAATATTTGTCCTAACAAGTAGCAAGCCAGAGACTGAGACGCCTGCGAAACAACGAATAATACCCAACGTTGCATTCTGCAGGAATCTTGGACAATTTTCATATTTTCTTGCGAAAGATCTCTACAGAGTAGACAAAAGTCTCCAACTTGATGCTGGAAATATTTTCTTTTCATTAATAATTCAGAGTTGTTCCATTTTTCTAAGCTTTGGAACATTATGTAACCGATTGCTAAGAATATTGATCTTTGAGAATGACGCAGTAGTCGAACTTAATTTCTAAAGGTGATATTTGTACACGTACGAGGCAGCATGACCGTCACAGTAAACATCCTATTTGCTTAACAATTGCATCATGCACGATATCGATGACAATAATGTTCCGTTACGCATAGAGGAACCCGTTGCACCGCGGATAAAACACAATGTCGCCGCATGTTGCCTAATTAACAACTTAGAACCCGATCTAGCCAAGAAGGGTGTCAATTAACCCGGCATTCTTTCACGTGCAACTACGGTCTGCTGAAAATGGCGCAGCATCTACCGGGGTAACTGCGAGCAATTCGCGCTGGCAATATTAATCAGTCGTTGATTAGCATAAATCTGTAATTCCTGTCCTAGTGTTGGTTCAGTTCTCTGCATGGTAACGTTGCTAACGTCGGCTGATCGACCGCTTCTTGCGTCGTTAGAACATTGAATCTCATAAATCCGCTTAAGTTCTCAAAATAAACGTTTGATCGCTTTATAGGTCTACATACACATGCACGTTGCTTCTCAATGACATCCATAATGTTAAAAATGTCCTGTCACAAAAGAAAACTTTTTAGATTCAGTTGCATATATGCAATAATTGAGTTTGAATTGGTTACATTGAAAATGAGGAAAAAATAACGTAACTATAAATTTAAATCTTAACCTACTCAACATCTCCTTAGCTCCACGACAAGAGATCATGCCTTAAACAACTGTAAAGGGCCGCGACGATGATCTAGGATAGAAAAGTCTGGTCGGCCGTGTCGAATCGCAACCAGTATGGCATAGCTGTTGACTCACGATCATGTGACCTGTAACGTAATGTTATAACAGTAATAAAGTACGTGAACAGTGTCGATGTCTGCAATAGGTGTCAGTCGTTTCATCATCAGGGTCATCCAGATGCTACCATATGAGCGTCAGATCATACTTATTTATCGTTGTTTTCCTCCATTATCGTTCGATTATCCATATCGCTGGCAGGTTCACGTTCCTATAATTATGTAATACGGATATCCTTCTACTCGCAAGTAATTAAAGAAAAACGTCGTGACAACAGTGTAGCTCGCGGAACGATCGTTAAGGTCGAGCGTATGAAATTTTCCAAATTGTTCTACCGATTGCACCACATGTGCACACGGTTTTCTTGTCCGGTTGTACATTTCTTTCCTCGCCCCCCCCCCCCCTTTTCGGTATCCTAGAAATTACGGTTTCCCGTCAACTGTTTGATCAGCGATTTTTGGTTGTGTATACATGTACCCAGACTTATTTACAGGATGGTCATCTAACGCAAAGCAAATAATCGTTCGCGAAAACTGGGCTAGCCCATGATATTATTGGTCGCCTCGTTATTTCAGTGACGGTGTGTCACGCCTGGCTACCAACGGTTGTTATCAATTTATCGCTACCCTGATCTATCGAGCGAGACCCGAGCTGGTTTTTTGGAATACCGGTCAGCAATTACATCCTCTACAATTCCGAACATCGCTTATGGCATAATATTAAACGCAGATTCCAAAATGTATTAACAACTTCTATGGTTTTTGGCGTAATTTTTACATATGCAGTACGGAGAAATGGAAAACATTATACAACGAGATAAATATTTCGTGAGTCGACAAAATGTTCAAAAGATAGTCGCTACTTACCAACGTGACTAAGTGACATTGCGCAGCGGTAAATAAATATAGTTTATATTCACAAGCGTATGTGTAAATGACCGTATATTTAATAATTTTTCTTTATCGCTATCGACGAACAGAACATAAATTAGAGCGTACGAAACATTTCGAAACAAAGTACTAGTAATGCTGTTCTAAAATCATATTTACAATGCAGTAAAATATTGTTTGGTATAGTGTTTTATCCATTTCTGGTGCAGGAAAGTTATGCAGACTAATCATTAGAATACGGACTTGATGCACTTGTAATACAAACGTTTCAACACATTAAAATGATTGGAAAACGAAATAAATATCTTTGAAAAGAGCACATCGAGACAACCAAACCAGCATGCTAGCAGTGCAATTTCATTTTTCAAGTATTTTTCGTGTGCCGCGTTCGATAACAGATATTTCCGTCTAGGAATTTCAACTAGTCGGATTCTTTCCGACTCTTCTAAATTCTGGCGGCGTCTTTTCATTACGATATACGAATCGAGGCACAAATTACGATAGTCCGCCGTGCGAGAGAAGGTTCATGCGCCTTTCGCGCCCGGGCCCACGAATTCTCTCCGCTCGGTGAATTTTTATAGATACTTGAACTGCTGCCAGGAAACGTTATTGTACTCGTTTCACGCGCGTGCTACCGTTTCGCATTCGAAGATACGCAGAGAGTCGATCAGATTCGGCTCCAGAGTCCGTCAATCAGCCGGCTGCCACCGACTATTTTTATAGCGGGAGCGGTGATGTAACTTTTGTCTAGCAACAGTTCCGCGGGAACTGCGCGCGAACCAACTAATCCGGCAGCTTGCGTGCCTGACCTTCACGAAAGACCATAATGATGGACGCAATGAACTCCGTAAAATAGTCGTTTTGATAAATATACAGAATATTGTAAGACGAAAAAGAATTGTTGACGATGAATTGCAAGAGCCGAGACGACTACACGAAAAATTACTGAAAACATGTATTAACACTTTAGCTACTGGAAACCTTTTAATGACTGCGCTAAAAGAAATTGTATACTTACGTGGCTCGATGGTCATACAATAGTTGTCGAGAATTTATCATTCGTAACTAAAGCTTTTTCTGAAAGCCGAATGAACTGTGGAAGCTCGGATCAAGGATTTCGAGGATCGTAGCAGTGGTGGACCAAGAGATCTCGGTTTCAGGCGGGTCTAGTACATCCATTGATCCATTTCACTTGAGATCAATGGATCACGGGGCTAGAAAACCGTTCAGCATGTGGTTACTCGGCGTGACGGCATCGGTGAAACATGCAAACGGATAAACAGCCAAAAAGATTGTTTAGCTTTATCCAGCTTCAGCTTCTTCAGCTTCTGGTCCATGAAACAGACTTTTAAACATCATGTCGAGCTGCATTACATAAAAGTATTCTAAAAATATTACAAACTGGCCACGAGTTTTTCGTTACCTTTCAGTTCACGGCAGATCCGTGGAAAAAAAATTGTCTCGCAATTGTCTCAGAATTGTCCCGTGATTCTCCTACAATTTCCATTTCATGATTAGATTAATAATCTTCGTGGAATACGTTGATTTTTTCCTAGTACGGTTATTGTTAGACTAAACGAAAGACGTTGGTGATTGATAGAGGCGCTTGGACCGGGGAACGGATAAAAGATATGTTGTAAGACCGGATCCGTTTGAAAAGAGAACGCTGAAAAGGGGTGAGGTGGCTTAGAAAAGACTGTTTGTTCGCGATCCTTCTTTATCTTCGCCCTCGGAGAAAGATGAGCCCGAAAAATCGATTCAACGGCTGTTTCTTCGTATTCTGTTGCGCGCGATTGCGTTTGCCACTGACGTCTGTCCGAGCTGTCCTCCTTCTGCACGAAGAGTTGCCGTTGCCGTGTCTAAAGTCATGCTGCTCCTTTGAGCGTTACCATTCGCATTAGGCTCAATTCACGCTTCGAAGGTTGTTTCGCAATAGTTCGTCACGGCGATACCGGTCGATCGTCATTGACTATCTCCATCGGTACTTCTGAATGATTCTCCCCTAGGATACCAGTCAGTTTTTCATCGACCAACTACAACAAACAGTTACATGCATTCTTTCGTGTAATTTTACACGATTCTTATTTTCACGTGGGCTTATTCTAAAATTGACTCAACAAGTATCAATGCTTATGAACTTCTTTTGGAGATATGCGAGCCTATGAAGCATCCGAGGTGTTTCTACGGAAGTATAGCGCACTGCAATATTCCCATGTCATCCTTAAAGCTGAAAAGATACTGATGACGCTTCGAACCGCGAGGAATCTATCCAGACTAGAGATAACGATAATCGTCGCGATTGGCGTCCGAAGAAATGTCGCGAGCGTCATAGTCGATCAGTGATTCAGCGAAGAATGTTAATTTGCATTTCCACAATACATCAACATCTCGGTTGGACAGGGAGTTACGTTTCGCGCGTATCCGTGGAGTTAGAGTAGGGGTGGGCTCTGGGTGTTCCCTGTTGCACGTTCTATCCGCACACAAGCCAGCGCGCGATCCCCGCACACCTATGCAGTTTTGTGCACGTGCAAGTGGCTCCGTTCGTGTAAATAGGCGGCGGTGTCGGGTGGGGGTACGACGCCTCTCTAAGCGACGCTCCGCGTCTTCGTCAGTCAAATTGCGATCGTCTCCGCGTGATGGGCCGCTGTTGAGGGTTGAGCGCCGCGAGTTTCTACCGGCACATAGTAGCTAGCACGCTTCATGGTGAAGACGAATTATTTGCTCGGCGACAGTGTTGGGGAACACTGGCGAGCTCCGGCCAACTAGTGTATTTAGCACGTACCAATATTCCGTGGAACCACACCGGTTCGTCGACGAGAATAAACGCGGAGCGAAGAACCGTCTTCCGGATCCCCGGCGACACTTGTCAGCTCGCTGTTCCGGATATCGGCTTTCAACTGGCTGAACTTCTCGCTCTTTCCTGTCGGCGCACCTAAACAAGGCGTGAAACAGACCCAAGAAAAGCTGAGATTTTTTTAAACGACCATAGTGAGACCAGTCAGCAGGATGAAGAGCTTGACCTTCTTGCTGTTGTTCCTGGTCACAGTGACCGTGTGTCACGAGCCGTTCCAAGTAATCTTCCAGTGGAATACAATCGATGTTGTCTGGCAATCAGAAGATGACAAGGAATTTGCATTAAACCACGGCGAATATGTGCCCGCTAATAACTTCATCTCCGGTATCAAGTTCTGGAAGGGTAAGATGTACCTGACCATGCCTCGCTGGAAGGATGGTGTGCCGGTCGCACTCGGAGTTACATCCGCCACCCCGGTGAACAAGGTTACGGCACCAGCCCTGGAAGCGTTCCCGAGCTGGGAGATGCAGAAGCTCGGCGACTGTAGTGCCTTCCAGTACGTGCAGAGCATGGAGATCGATCCGATCGGTCGTATGTGGGTGATCGACACGGGAAGAGTATCTCCTATGGCGGTAGAGACGAAGAGCGCCTGTCCTCCTCGTCTCGTGATCCTCGACCTGGAGAACAAAGGTGAGATCTTAAGAACCTACGAGTTTCCCCAGCACGTGGCACGCCCGGCAACCGCGTTCTTGAACGACATAGTGGTCGACCACGAAGACGGCGGCATGGCATACATCTCGGACAGTGATCGCGACGATCCGGGCATTATCTTATACTCGCTCCAGAACAACACATCTTGGAAGATCAGACACGACTCGATGAAGGCCAAGCCCGAAGCGGTGCGATTCATGGTTGCTAAGGTGCTGATCAACTTGCCGTTCCCAGTGGACGGGATCGCGTTGTCCCCTGCCAGCGTACAGGACAGACAGCTGTACTACTCGCCGTTGTCCTCTTTCCACATATACTCGATACCAACGTCTGTGCTAAAGACCAATATGAGCAACATCGATGATTACGTAAAGGAGTTAGGAAGGAAGAACTCGCAGTCCGACGGGATGATGATGTCCGCCACCGGAGTGTTGTACTTTGGATTGTTGGCCGACGATGCAGTGGCCATGTGGGACACCAAGATGTCCAGCAGCTTTAACATCGCGCAGAGGGTCATCTCCAGAGACCACGAGCGGATGCAGTGGCCCGACAGCTTCGCGTTCGACGACTCTGGCAGCTTCTATTGCGTGACCAACGGCTTGCAGAACATCCTCAACAACCGCGTGAACGTCTCCGTACCAAACTACAGGGTCGTTCGGTCGAAGATCGGGCTGAAGAGCTACCAATATCTAGAGAATGGCACCGCGCCACTGCAACCGGATATACTCACTTCGACCGCTAACAGGATTAGCCTCGGCCTGGCAGTAGGATTAGCCGTTCTGTTAGCTGTCGCCGTTCAGTAACGTCTCTCTTCCTATTGTCGTTTCTCCTCTTTTCTAGACAGTAGACTGTATCACAACGCACGGGTATACCAAAGACGTTCGACCCATCTTTCCAGTCAGATAACGCGCCGACAAAAGCCTATCCAGTGTTCCTCCGGTGACTCTGAACATCCAGTGCGACCCTCGATCCACCGATTCACGCGCGTGAAGTTATGGTTGTATGTACAAAGATTCAACGCCGGTTGGTTTCACAGCCGCACAGCCAAGCGTGACTCGGCCGCGTGTAACTGTAATGTGGGGCGTTTTCAAATTATACAGTGGATCAAACGAGCTCCTTTTGTGGTGGTACACACCTTATTATAGGCGGAAGTATTGTAGCGATTTGGAAACGTTGATGCACACGTTGTAAGAGAAGCTGCAAAGAATCCGTTTCAGAATTCTACCGGGTAAATTTTCCCATACGTCCAGCGATTTCTGTATATTTAGGTTTTGCCCTCCATCGACTACCTGTACAACAGAATATTATTAACGTTTCCGGAGCGGCACATCATTTCCGTGTACATATAGCAAAGTATTAAAGAATATCAGTTCGTTCCAAAAAAGTTGCTAGTACTTCTTAGATTCGTTCTTAATGACGGCTTCGTTCCATCGAAGCCTCGATTAGATCTTCGTCCTCATCGACGGCTTGTGTGCGAGGTCGTTTCTTTAACCTGTGGTTTGGGAACACCTGTGCCCGCAATTTCACGGTTTGTAGGATTTTCCAGCTTTCCATCTGCTTGTTCGTCGGGCTAGGATATATTTAATTCGATATTTATAGGTACACAGGTGTGTCGCATTTCGTATGTATACCCGTGTACCAGTGCGACCAGCGCGTGTACATGCATCGGAAGCTCTAGTCTAGAGTACGTCTTCGCGACAGTGTAACTGTGCAGACAAGACTACTTGTTACCATAATCTCGCGAAACCGAGAGTGTAATTAGATTGCACGCTGGTCTAGAGATACCCATCGTGAACGATGAATTTAATGGAACAACAGAAACGCCCAGGATCTCTCGAGACTCTACCAGGAAACCCGTCTCTCTATGTCATCTGATTGCCATCCAAGATTCCCGGGCGAAATTGATCTCGAAGAGTTCATCGGTACAATTACCACTGACGGTCTTTATCACAGGGAACAGTAGCGTATCTTCTTCTGCTGCAGCCACGAATCCGCCTTCGTCTGAAACGGAAGAACATTTTAGTTTATTACTCAAATAAGTAATTGACACGTTCACATCCTGTATATCTACGTTCCGGAAGAGAAATACAGAAAAGCTTCCAAATTATTCAGAAACTCCTAAACTAAACAAGTTTTTCAGTTAAAATATCATTAATTAAATTAATTTAATTTTCTAGAATATTTTTTGAGACTATGTTTCGGATCTCTGAACGTGTAAAGCTCTTTTCCAAAAATACCGAGCAATACCAAAGAGTTGATTCAATTGGTTTCACAATTGCGTGTTCCGCAAAAAAACCCGTCCGCGTTTCCACAAAGTTTCCTCAACTTTTGGATGTATCGAAAGGAAATCGGTCTGTACAAACTTTCAAAGAGGCCACTGGAAGGTAACAGCCTCCCCTCCTGTGAAGAAGAAGAATTAATTCGACAATTCCCAGGGTCCGCGCGAAACGAATACTTTCATTCCACTATGTATTAATAATAAATCTATCAGTATTCCAGCCGAATCTCCATTTAATCAGGCGACCGAATTCAATTGGCACGCGTGCCGCAGAAACAATCACGCTCTCGTACCGGGCGAAACTTTCGCCGCGACACCGACGCATTCGCGCTTAATTGACCCCGAATTAACATCGCCAATGGGCACTATTAAATCTTCTGGCCAACGTTAAGCGACGATTCGACAGCAGTTGGACAAGATAATGGAAACAAAGTGGATAGAATCAGCAAGTTTTACAAAAGCGGAAACACATAGGTAGTATTCCTATTAATTTGTCCAACCTTTATAATATAGTTCGATCGCGCCCAATTCAAAGAGAAATTAAGAAAAAGCTGCGGGTAGAGGGGAGAATGAATAGCGAACGGACCGTTTGTCGTTGCGACGAAAGTAGTTGTTGTCGAGGTCCCTCCCGGAAAAGAAACAGCATTGTCGAGAATTCAAGAGGGTCATAGTTCGATCGAATGGGAACGACCACGCGACCAACCATAACGGGGGCGATAATAAACGGCAACGTAACGAATCAGCTCGGAAAATTAATCCTCTGTAACCAGTCATGAGGGCTCGCATTCCATTTTTCCAACTATGGACTCTCTTTCATATTGAAAGACATCGCTCTAGATATATGTAGAGTTCAGAGATTCCTTCACAGGTTATGGCGGATGATTATCTTCAGTGGAATAAGTCGTTCATTGTCAGACTGCAGAAGTTTACTAGTCTCTTCGTAAAGCATTCGCATCAGTACAAATGTGTTTCACTGATCGGTGGTTTTTGCCTCTTATTTTTAAAGTTCTGCTGTGTCTAATTGTTGTATTTTAATATCGTCCCGCGGTCGAGTGTGTTTCTTTAATTGGGCGCGAATTGCCAACGATTCGTTCTTGATTCGCCTTGTAGAGACGGAAGAATGTTCGGCGATCAATGGAATACCTTATTCTCATAAGGCTCTCGCTACTCCGACCTGTGAACACGGATGTATGAGTGCACGTATAATTAGTGTCTACGCTGCATATAACGCGTACGAATAACTTTAATGTATATGGCCTTATTTGCGACGATGAATTGAAACCGTATACCGGGAGAACGGTCGGAAAATGCGAGTTATGAATCATTTGTTTAGGCCGGTTCGGGGAACGCAACTTACCGCCATTTCACGGCGTTTGTTTGTTGCAATTATGTATTGTGTGTTCCCTTTCTCAGCGAATCGACCCAGAATGCTCGCATGGCTAACCGATTCAATGATATCTACCTCTCCTCCTTTTCACTGTAAAAAAGGGAAACCCTTCGTCTTCGCGCTACCTCCGCGGACCCAGAAAATACGAAAACGTGAATACCGTAGATTCAGAAAGTGAAAGTAGCTTGCACTATTCACCTGCGACAGCTTCTCCTCTTGGGAGGCACTGCAACTTGCATATCAATCCGATTATTTTACCTGGGACTTGACCATGGATCCGCCGAGATTACAGCGACCGTAAGTAGCAGAACGGAGTGCCGCAGGATGAATGTTTCATACGAGTAGAACGTGCACGGAATCCGTGTTTCCAGGTGCATTTTATTAATCGAAGGAAAAACGTGGAACGTCCATTATCGGCGCCGGCATCTCTATAGCTTCGGCGCGGCGTCATTCGGAAAAGGGAAACTCGAAAGACGAGGCGGGGAGGGCGATCTCGCTTTCAGCCTCTTCCCACAATTGTCTCCTCTTTCAGCCACGCAGCGTCCCAGTTTTGCGGCGGAGTGAGGTGCACGCACATTATTACGCGGCGCAAAACGGAGTCGGGGCCTAGCCCTGAACCGCGAGTCAACGAACGGCCAGGGAGAGGCTCGGAGGATTACAAAACTTCGCTGAGAAAACAGCGTGCACCTGAGATCCGATCGGCGCACGTCGAATCTGGGACCGAACCGCGCTTCGGGAAGCGATACTTGGATTATCTGCGGAATAGTCGCGCGGGAACGGACCTCTAGAACGCGAATTCAGAGAAAGACGTCAAGAATGCAAGCCTGAACTGGCTACAATAGTTTCACACTTCCGCTGAAATTTTCTCAGTAATCATCGGCGAACAATTCAATCTTAAACGCTACTCCCGATTCCCTGTGGCGTATAGTTTCCCAACAGTTTTTGGCTCTCAGTCTTCTTTCAAAACTTTTCATTGGTTCTAAGGAACCCACAAATTTCTCAGCGTTCACGTTGAGAAACTATACTGCTTCGTATATTGCGAGGTTCTAGCTGAGGAGCGAGAGAATATTTTCCTCGGCGTGCAGGTTTTGTTTAGAAAGAAGAAATGATTTTATAGTCACACCTGACCAATGACTCACGAGATATCAAGATATTTCAATATCACGAGACATTGATGATGACTCACTCACAGATAGCATAAAAAATACTGAAGCATAGCCTTCGCGAAGAGACGCCGCCGGTCAATCGCATCTGCAACAAATGATGTCAGCCGATTATGAAAAGAATATTAAGCGCGTTTGACTCACAGGCGGAGTTCGGTGTCAATGTTCGTTCGAGGCGGTTTCTATTTACTCGTCGGATGATTAAGCGCTAACCAAACGTCCAAGGAGACTGCTCGATCGGCAGATTCGACTGTAGTCGCTCTTTCTGACTAGAATTGAATCGGTGCAACCATACCGAGACGGTTGACGAATCAATAAACTCTAGATTAATGCGAAGAGAGCCCGGAATAGAAAGAGAAAAGGGTGGTGGCATTAATCCGGGGTTGCCTGAACCGAGACTTACTGTACATTGTGGTTCTTTTTCTATGGATAATGATTCTTAATCTCTTAACCGAGCACGGCCAGTTATTTCATCATTAATATTCTTTTGACCGCTGATCGTATTCAACAGACATACTTGTCTACTTCTTTTTGAGACTTCAATGAAAGATCGCTCAGTTAGCAGATTAATTGGTGTCAGTAAATTCTAATCAAAAGCAGCACTGATTGCTGATCGACGATGGAAACGGGTGCCGACGGTGCACGACAGAGTGTTCTGCCGTTTATTAGGTTTGTAAGAGCGTTTTTTTTGTGCAGGAGTGGTTTTCGTTGATTCTGTCGAAAATTTTGGTTAGGTGAGTCCTGCCGCAGCTGATCTTCGGACTGGATTGCTTCGTGTGTGACTTTGTCCTGTTTATTTTACGAGCAACGTAAATGATTGATGTAATGATTCCATTCTAATGGTGATACAACTGGTGTTCGACATACGGAGCGATAGTAAGCATATGTACGCTAATTACATGCTCGTTCTATGTCAATTTACATAACAATATCTGTAAAGCTATATACACCGGGAAGATTAATATATTTTCTTTAGTTATATATATATTGTATATCGCGAGGTGTCGCGTAATAAAGTGGCATGATGCAGTAAACGATCATTTTACCAGGAAGAATTATAGTTTACCTAGGGAATCGTTTCATTAACGTTTGACTTTTAAATTGTACTTGACTTTTTTAATGTAATTATTTTATTACAATACTACCATTTTTTATAAGACACCTGTGTATTGCGTAGATTAGAAATACACCTATAGGATTCAGGCCGGATATATCGACATTCGTGTCGTTGATGATCTATTACTTCGTGTATTAGAGAGTAACATAGCTATTACATAGTATTTCTGTAAATCATGTCTTATTAATAAAAAGATAGATGTTTGCAGACCTTGGATTTCCTCCTTTCATCGTCACGTCGCACTCTTAATTGTCTTCGTTGCATAACTACATATTCTCACCTCGTTAAATAACCACTGTTTCTTCATCGGCCAATTGATAGAATTCATGGCAAAGTACTAATTACAAAAAGAAAGGGTAATATTAAATCCAAAATTTTTACAAGAAATATTTCTTAAAAAATTGCATCGATCGTTTCTGTTAACAAATACTAATAACATATTCTATTTACATAATCTTCCGAAAAGAAGCGAACCTAAAATAAAACTGAAATACAAAATTAACCGACTAAAAATTTGAAGTTTTAAAAGAACCAAAAGGTTTCGAGGCATTATCAAAGATGGCGCCTTAAGTCCTATTAAAAAATCAGGCTCTGCCGGTAACATTCGACGCAACGATGCTAGTGCATTTTAGAAGTACTAAATAACTATAAAATATAATTTCTATTTTGCTTTCCAAAATTCTTACTTACTTATATTTAAGGTACTGATATGGCACCATCCTAGTATACTGATTTTCCGGAGAATTTACTAGATTACCTAAAACGGGAGAAAGACAGGTGTTGTTTAGCGAAAGTAATTTCTTTCTACTCTACTTCCCAGCCAGAATTTCGCAAATCCTTCATCTATTTTTGATGATCGTAAGTGAAACGGTCGTTCAAGCTTATTTATACTTAAATGTTGATACTATGTTAAATATTATTTATTATGTAGTACATAACTAAACATATTACCTTACTCGGTCATTTTTCACGAAAGTACATTCATAATGACGGCAATTGTTAAACAAACTCTGAAATTGATCGTTTCGATGATGTCAGCAAATACGTTCACAGCGTCTTGCAAATGCTAATGTTCGAATGAAAACAAGTCGTTTTTCAACCAATCACGAGACAATATGTAAAATTACGGCTCTCGTGACTGGCAGAAATCTTAAGTCTCGATTTTTGATTTCGAGAATCGAAAGTGCGCACTATTCGCCAATCGGAGAGCGCACCACATTTGAAATGAATTGCGCGTTAGTCCGTATTGTTTCCATACATCCAGTATGAAAACATTCCATAATTCATTTTGAATAATTAATTATAGTTTATTTGCATATTGTGCAAAAAGTTCTTTTAAGTCGAATTTTCTATCTATTTTTGTGCAGGTAACTCTTTTAAAGATTTCGACAATTTTTTATTATCTCACAGTGCTTTTAATATCACAAAGCATATTTGATTCATCAATTCTGTGTCGAAAGTCTACTTAAGGGTCAATATACACATGTATAATAATGTGATGCATAATTTATTTTAATGTTGAAATTAAATTTACATAGTTCTGCGGTTGCGTTCACAACGAATCCACTTCCATGCGCATGAGCAACGACATATTTCGAGAGTTTCGCCTCTACAAGAATCTTGTTGTGGTGGGGGCAAAGAGGGACTGGTTCGTACCGGCGGCGCCTGCAGTGACCGGCTGGTGTCCGTGAGCACCCGGGTGTCGATAACGTGGACACGAGAGATCATATAAGTCGAGACGGTGTTTTCCCCTCGAAGAGATCGCCGCCAAGAAAATCAGTGTCCTCGCCCGAGTCTAGTGGGTGTCAAGAAAAGAATCGGTCTGGCTAGCTCGCGTGCGTCTATCTCTATCTCGATCCGTCTGCCTTTCCTGTGCCTGCCCCTTCCTCCGGGCCCCGGTTGATCTGTCTCTTTTCAACAAACGGGGACAGATCGAATACGGCGTGACAGCGATCGACTTGCTCCGATACTGCACGGACAACCCTTGCGCTCTTTTTTCCAAGGTTTACGCGGTTTTCCATGTCAACGACACGCGCGCTCCTGCCAAGGCCAGCGTGCTACGCCCTGCACAGAGCAGCCTCCGTTTTCTTCGCCGTCAAGCAACCGATTCGCGCATCGTTCGTACCCGTCGCCGACGACCCGTTGTCATCCACGTCGTGCCTATCGTCGTTGTCATTGTTGTCGACTCGTCGGTGGTCGAAAAGGGCCGGCGAGCAAACGCGTACGTGCAGGGCCATCGGCAGGCTGAGGAGAAGGAGACAGGACAGCGTCGCTCACGCCAGCCTGAGATGAGCGACCATGGCTGCATACACTTGAATAATTTCAAAGCAGCCAAGGGTATCCAGCCATACAAAGTGATACACTCCTATTTCGTGACCAGCACGTCGACCGAGGCACGCGTAAGAAAGGTGCGACTATCTTTTTCTCGCGTGATCCGTGGTCAAGGTTCTGTCTTTGTCTCCCTCTCTCTCTCCTCTCTCTCTTTTGCTCACTTTCGCTTGTTGTATGCTCCGTCTCTTTTTCTCCCCGTCTCTTCATCTCTCTTTCTGCACATATGTTGTACCTGACGATCATTTGCCCCGACTCATTCTTTACCGTATTATCTCAGCGATTTTATCATCTCGGAATTGTCTCCGCTTCGCAAACTATGAATACAGTCGTTTCAAGGAGTAGGAAACTGTCGCAACTACGTACGTGAACTCCCGTAGTATCGGAAATCGCGGGATCGTTTTTATTCTTTGTTGTTCCCACTAGCAATATTGAGTCACGAGCCACGTAAATTATAGAAAGTATGACAACCTTGTCTACATATACGCGAGCATTCTTTACAGAAATCAGATGCCATCATTGTCATCTTATTTTTTCGTATTGCAAAGATAAGATGCCGTCTCTTCCTCTTATTTTTTAGTCTGATTAGCCGATCTCTACTGATAACGCTTTGTCTTATCTGTCTATTGTTTCTAATTTCTTTAATTTGTTTTCAACAGAACTTGAATCGCATGAAATCGATCCAAATTTCTTTAAAATGTAATCGCTATTAACTGTTCCAGTTATAATTTTGGAACAGATACACTTTCACGAAGATAAAACATGTTGTGCAGTCAATGAAAACATCGTGAACGGTGTAATTTATTTGTTTGGTTTGTACTGTTACTTTCATGGACGGTCGTGTGTAAAGACGGATTTAAAAATGGCCGCCGCAAACGATTACTCTGCCGGTACAAAGTTCTAGCAGATTTGTTGCTCGCGTAAAGTAACGGTATTGCAGATTTATGATTCTACTGATACCGTTACTTTGATAAATGTTTTATTACACTTTACAGCATTATAAAATTATATTAAATAATCCTTATGCTTCATATTTGATATACCCAAAAATATTTTATAATTTATCTTGAACAATACTGTTATCTTGTCTATATAACACTTTTTATTGTAATTTTTCCATAAAAAATGTTGAATAAGCAATTACAACATTTTTTAGGCTGTAAGCTGTTTATGTCACACATGTAAATCATATAAGGACCGTCTTCATTCTTGCCTTCACTGCATATTTTTTGGCTGCTATGTAAAAGGTCACATACAGGAACATGCAAAGACAAAAAAGCATTTCTTAGGTAATTCAATATAAAATAAAATTTATTATGTTTGAAAAATGTATTATTTATACAAATCTTATGTTGCAGCTGTTGATCTTTGTTATGGAAATATCTTGTGCTTCCAATGTGGAGATTATGTATACGATAGAGAGTTATTGGCAGTTGCCAAATCACAGTGGAGCGAATCTGCAAAATCCCTGAGCTTTGGAGAATTTTATCGAGCATGGGAACCAACACAAATAGAGGCTGAGTTATTGAGGAAACATCCACGCAGAAGGCGTGTTGTAGAAAATTCTACTATAGGTAATAAATGCAATAAGATGCAATAGACAGAGACAATAAAATTTCTAATGAATCCAACATACTTTAACTGTCCTAAAATCTTTCAGGTCTAAGAGGACTTATAAATCTTGGAAGTACATGTTTCATGAATTGCATTGTACAGGCCCTCATCCACACACCACTGTTAAGAGATTATTTTCTTGCTGACCGTCATCACTGCCCACAACCCAGTCGCTGCCTAGTCTGTGAAGTGTCCCATCTTTTTCAGGAATTTTATTCTGGTAGCAAAGCACCGTTAACGCTTCACAAGCTTCTCCATTTAATATGGACGCATGCCAGACATTTAGCAGGTTACGAACAGCAGGATGCCCACGAATTCTTTATAGCTACGCTCGACGTTTTGCACAGGCATTGCGAGGCAGCGCCGATTTTAGTAAAAGATAATCCGCATCATTGCAATTGTATCATCGATCAAATCTTTACCGGTGGGCTACAGAGCGACGTGGTTTGCCAGGCATGCAAGTACGGCATAAAATCCATCTCTATTTGTAAGGTGTAAAGCTAAATCTGTTATATAATAATTATTCAGCTCTACATCCTGCATACTAAATAGTACAATAAAGAAAATTGTCTGCTAATGTAATCATTTTTTAGCGGTGTATCGACTACTATAGATCCGTTTTGGGATATATCATTGGATCTGGGTCCAGCAGCTAGTGCGTCGGGTTCCGACAGTTCTGGTCCTCCTACGTCTCTATTGGATTGCCTGGAAAGGTTCACACGTGCAGAACATTTAGGATCCAGTGCAAAAATCAAATGTAGTAATTGTCAGACATACCAAGAGAGCACCAAACAACTGACGATGAAGCAACTTCCTATCGTGGCCAGTTTTCACTTAAAACGATTCGAACACTCTAGTATACAGGACAAGAAGATCTCCACATTCATCTCATTTCCGGAACAATTGGACATGACGCCCTTTATGTCACACAGACGGAACGGCAACAACAACAGCTCGATGATGGATGGTCTGCCAAAGAATGGAGAAGACATGGCGTTCAGCGATAACAGATACTCGCTGTTCGCAGTGATAAATCACGAAGGTTCTTTGGAAACTGGACACTACACTGCCTTTATACGGCAGCAAAGAGATCAATGGTTTAAATGCGACGATCATTTAATCACGAGAGCAAGATTAAAAGACGTCTTGACTAGTGAGGGGTGAGTCCGCGGCACTGGCCAATCAGTCCGCAGTTAGTATTATTACCAAGGATCCAGTGAAAAAACCTTTCCTTTTCAGGTATCTTCTTTTTTATCATAAACAAATTTTGGAGTACGGTCGAAACGCCAAGGTGTAAACATTAGATCATGTAATTAATTTATTTATCACGACGAATCATGGGCGGTAGACTTAAGTCCTTTAGCATCTTAAGAGATACATACACGAGCAGCTAATCCTGTTCTGAAAAGTATCTCGGAAATCTCGTCCGACCTACACAAATTTACTTTTATTGGTCGAACGCGCATGAACTGCGCAACAGCAAATTACATGTTAACAAAAAAGAAACGAAAAACAAGGGCCTCAGAGAAAGAAATTTCTGAAACACTGAATTCGTAAAAAAAATGTAATAGATGAAGATATATTCGAAATTCGAAGAATAAATTAATGAACGACTCTACTATTACGCTTTGATCATGAGATTGAGCAGATAAAACTAGAAATTAATTACTGTTACGAAAAAAATAGGCAAGATCGACGGGATGTCGTTCTGTTAGTATAAATGTTTGTCGTGATGTTCGAACTTTTAATTGTCAACATTCTGAAGAGTGTTAAAGATTTAAGGAGATCATCGTGTTCGCTGTAATTTGTCGTTTCACTATCTTTCTTTTCCACCATTGTTTCGTGTTTGACGAAATATCTAGGTTGGCGCACACGGCGATCGATTTTCCCTATTCTCGTGTCTTAAAATAATATAAGCGTAGTTTTTAAGATTAGCTCAATTTTTTTAAATGACCGATCGCATTTTTGTATATCGCTGACTGTTATTATATTCCTGCCCTGACACTTGTATACACAAGACACCAAGGATGGATCACACGATCATGATTTTTTGATTAATGAATTATTTACATTTGTTCCTATCAAATTCTTAATAACTCTAGCATGCATTACGTAAAATCAATTATCTAAATTATTTTTTGACTCAATTCGTTGTGTCAACCATCCGTTGGTGAATCAATTTTGTACAAACGAAGTAACATATATTTAAAAAGGGGGATAATGGTATTATCCAAACAAGGCGAATTATTTCGCGTGACTGTGTATAATAAAAGATCATTGTTTGACATATTTCTTTCTGGTTGCCCGTTTCACTTTTTTCTTCTCGATGATTCAAAATTAATTGTTTTCTGTACACCAGAGTCTACAGAGAGTGCCAACCAATTGCATTATTAGTTCTTAATTTATTGCTTATCACCATTACTGTTATACTCTATTTTGTATCAAGTTTCTGTTGGATGTAAGAATAAGTGTTTCATTACATTTTGTTGATTTCGCTGTTGGTTTCTATGATATTCAGATGTCTATATTAACTTAACAATATTAAAAGATCATTTTATTATGTTGGATTTCATTGTCCACTTAAGAAGGCAGTAGATCATTCATTGCTACATCCAGTATGTTGTGTTCACAGTTTTGTGTACATGTTTCATCAAGACACCAAGCTCCATACAATCTTTTCGAAATTGATTACTAATGAACAAAAATGTACAATCCTGTATAGAAGCGTCAAAGACCCTATCAAGACTTCTAAGTGTGTTAATCTAAAATAAAACTAAAATTTCAATTCGTGCATCAGCGCACAAAAGCATGGGGAAGAAATTGAGAAAAATATATGCACCTTGAGAAAAGATGTGCTAAATATTGTCATCGTGTAGCGTACTCGTCGATAATACGCATTGCAATTTGCAAACTGCACCTATGCGACCATTCTCAAGATGTACCGTTTTTGACATGACCAATAATACTGTATATCTGAGAATTAATATTACGCGTACAGTTGTAACGTGTTTTATATAAGGCTGAAGTAAATATATACAGAAATAAAGTTATATTTCGTGGAGAAACAGTTTCATCGATTAATTCTTTCTTTCATACATTTTAATGAAACTTTTATTTTTATATTAACTGCATTTGATCTTTACCAAACTCGATGCGTTTATTTAACAAAAAATTCAAATTTGAATTAAAGCCCGCGCATTCATGTCGAAGTGTACAATAAACTTGGTAAAACAAACTATTGGGAATACTATCGTATAATGTGAGGTAAAAAATTATTTGTTACAATTTTCTAACGGGGAAAATGTGTACAGTAATTTGATATTGTACACTCTTTATATGACGTTGTAGTAATGGAGGAAAGATGGACGACTTGACGTTTGGCTTGCACAGGTAAACGTGCGACTGGTTGACAGAAATTTTCAAAAAGCTTCTGATTAAAGGAATGACGCGTCACAGAAAAATGTTCTTTCTTTTCCAGGCTGGTTCACTTAGATCTAAAAGGTGCTCCACCACGAGTGTGTTACTTCGAAAAGGTCTGTTACCGTGCCGAACTTTATTGTTTACACTCTGTATCATTATTCTGACAGTTGTATCAATGAATCCTATCTATGTATAACAATATTTTTCCTTTTATTAGCCACGCGATATTAATATTACAATAATCTTTCTGAACGATACGATTGTGTATAACTTTTTTATTTACAAAATCCAATCATTACCTGCTCACCTGATATTATCACTTTAATTTATATCATTCTTATTATTCATAGCTAAAACAGTATAAATAAAATTTAATGATTTTAAGTGTGACATATTTTTATGTTATTGTTTTTGTGGGAGAATGCATAATAAACCTGTGAAGGTCAATTTAATTTTTTAAAATAAAATCATACATTTTTTACCATATTCATTGTCGCATCTTAATATTCTTTATAAAAAAAAGTATAATTATCTACAATAATTTACAGCTATTTCCACTTTTGAGAACATGGGGTGCTACTGGCATACTCATAGAATGGGAAGACACATTTCCATACAATCGGGAGCTTTCTCTTATAGGAAGCAATGGTTTGAGCAATTTCACCAGTGGGTACACAGCTCAGGAGGCTAGACATATCTTACAAATAGCTGGAGATTGTGGATTAGCGATTGTTCCTTTAGTACAAACATTTGGCCATATGGAGGTAAATGAAATCTCGATTCCAATATTGAATTAAAAAATGCATTACTAATAATGATATCAATTGCAGTTTATCTTGAAACATAATGAGTGGAAATCTTTGAGAGAAGTGGAGCACTTTCCAAGCTCAATTTGTCCATCTAACACAAGAACCTTGCCTTTGATTAAGTCCTTAATCCGGCAGATAGTTAGCTTTCATCCAGATATCCAATATTTGCATATAGGTGCTGACGAAGTCTGGCATCTAGGTCTTTGCTCAGTGTGCACAAAACGTGCTGCCTCTAGTAAATATGGGAAGCCATCTCTGTACTTAGAACATATTTTGGCTGTTGCACAATATGTGCAAGAAACATATCCCTATTTAAAGACTATCATATGGGATGATATGTTAAGATCTATAGATTTACAGGTTTTGAATGGTATCTTAGTAATTTATACATGTTAATTAGCGTCATTTAATTGCTTCATGAAAGTGTTTCGTACAATTTCCAGACCACTATATTGGGAAGTATGTGGAGCCCATGATTTGGCATTATAATCCAAGGGATAATTTTGCACTACCTCATGGTACATTTCTTAATATCCTATACTATAATATTTCATTTAACAGACATATAAAAATGCTTAACTTTAATTGCATTTTAAATACGAAAATATTTCGGTAGGACTGTGGGATAAATACACTGCAATCTTTCCACGTATGTGGGCAGCCACAGCATTTAAAGGTGCTACTGGTTCTTCACAACATGTCCCAGTTATAAGGCATCACATAAGTAATCATGAAAAGTGGTTGGAAGAATTAAGTGTACATGTGAATAAAGTTCATGAGTTTCGAGGAACAGCCTTCACTGGCTGGTCGAGGTAAGTTTTCATTTAATCGCACGCGAACTGTTCTATTGAATTTGAATTCTAGGTACGACCACTATGCGACACTATGCGAATTATTGCCTACAGCGATACCGTCGTTAGCGCTATGCCTGAAAGTCTGGCTGCATGGTTATTCTGAACAAATTCACAATCAAGTGGCTAAAAGCTTAGGATATATAGATCATCCTTTGCACATAACTCCGCAGCCAAGACCTGCTCCAATACCTAGTAATTTGCTCTTTCCTGGATGGCAGGTTGCAGTAGGAGTAGAATGGTTTTTGAATTTTCGAGCTAAATATCATAATATCGTTGCTAGCGAACAGTAAGTAAGAATTTAAACGTTGCAGCTTCAATGTTCCTCTCCTTGTTATGATATCACAATGTTACAGGATATCTACATGGATGAATCCATGGCAAGTGGCTAATAATTATACAAATCCCATGCAGTTAGAGAACTTAATTCCTGCTTTCACAGAGTATGTTCCATGATCATTTACCATAACGATATGAAAAAATAGTGAATAACGTGATGAACATCTTTTGTAGATTATTATTGGAATTATCCTCCTTAGAGGGCTACTTTAGGTTTCAAATGGAAAGTATTTTTTTCTCGACGATGGTGGACGAGTGGATAGGTACAAATATTCAGCCCATGAAGGGAAAGCTCGTAGAATTGAAACAGACTGCAGAAAATCAAATTATGTTGAATAGTCGTATTTAGGGTTCTAGCAAGTATTTCTTGAAGTATCTGCTTTACATCTCAATGACCAACTCTTATACAGGTAAAAAAAAGAAACACAAAACGATAGGCTGATGAACAAAGTACGAAGAATCTAGTGAATTGTACAATTTTATCTTATAAGTAGACGTAGAAAGGTAAAAAGAATAGCCTTAAGAAAAGTAATGATCGTGTGTAATACACGGGATATAATTTTATAAAAGAATGGACGATTATTTTAATACTTGGCTTAGGAGTGAACGAATTCGTGACAAATGTCTTCATCATCGAGCTTTGTCATTTTGCGAGCTGTTCTGTGATACTTGGCTATGAAGGGATTATTATAATATATTAGGTTGAGTCATTGATAACTGTCACCTTTTTTCTTCAAATTTATTTCAGTCCAAGTAAGAAAGTAGTGGTTACGAGCAATGTATCGAAGAATGTACATTATTATTAACTATTCGCATTTATTTGATGCTCGATACGAGTCGTATGTAGTTTTTTCGGCATAGAAAATATCCATTTGTAGTTGAAGTTGCTTATGATTCGACCCAATAATCAAGCTCAATAACCATACTTGTTGGTTATTGTGCTCACTATACTTGCTTCTAATTATCAGTGTTTCTTACATACATAGTACGTGCAAGTATTTTTTTACTCTTTGGAAAATTTCTTCAAAGTTCTTTTGAAGATGTTATTGATCAGCTGTAAAAAAAGAAGATTGTGCACAGTAGATAACATATTTCATGGAGTCTTTTTTATTCGTTTATTTATTAACTAATCTAATAGTTGTCTTTAATCTCTACTTATTGATGTAACATGTTAAACATCTGTAAAACATAGGAAAATCTCACATATACATGACGTATAGAGAGAAATAGTAATAAATGATAAATTAAAATATATACATATATGTTGGCGTTTCACCTTTTTGTTACAAATCTGATCGTCTTGAAATTATCGTTTCGGCATAGAAACAAAAGCAACGATTCCTTGAAAGGTGAAAACTTCGTAAAAATGTCTTTTTTTATTCGTTTTGATCGACATCATATTTTGAACGAATCGTATAAGGACCATGCAAAAAATTGATAAGTATGAAGATCAAGAAGCTGAAAAATTGGACGGAACTTACAAGGAGATTCTAACGCATATTAGACCTTACGTATTGCAACTGACATCTGCTGAGAGTGTGCAATTATGTAGGGACTGGCTGGAAAAATTGCACAATGAGACCTCGCAACGCCGTCTAAGAAATGAGTATCTGTTGGAATTATGCAGACAACTGAGAACAGGTCGGATTGGAGGAATTTTTAGCAAATTGCCGCCCAGTGGGCTTCTTCTACCACTCCCTAAGCCATATCATACGGTATCTACATTGATATTATATGTACGCTATTATGATAATAAAATAATCAATCTATAATACAGCAGGTCTGTAACAGTTCGTCTATCAGTGATCTATCAAGCTTTGTTGTAAGACCATTCTATAGTACTTTAAATAACTACAAAATGTCTGCAAAATGTAGACAACATCATAGAAGCAACCCATTATTGAAATACCGTGCAATGGGCACTAGTAGCATGGGTCAGTGTTTGGATTCTACTAATGCATCCCCAACTGTTCATTCTTACCATCGAAATGCAGCGAGAAAAAGTCAATTGAAAATTTATAAACACCGTATCGATACACTGAATACCTTTATCGAAGAATTGCAGTCACAAAACGAGTATTTGAAAAAGCAATTGGTAGAGAAGAGTAATCATTATTCAGACAATCATTTATATTCAAATGTTAGCCAGTTAACATCTGATGTTGCTACTTTAAAAACTAAGTTAGTATACTTCTACTAAATTAGTACTAAGATGGCGAAACATCTTAGTACTAGTTAAATGTACTCTGGGAACAGCAATGGAATTTATATGTTTTGGCAATTATTAAAGGCTATTAGATGTACAAAAGATGAAAAATTTGCTAGAAAAGAATTGTAAACAAGTTATGCAGGAATATCATTCTACAGTTGTAGAACAGTTTAACGAGTTAAAGGATCAACTAGATGAAGCTCGATCAAAATATGTAGCATTGGATAGCAGTATAGCTATGATAGATGAAAAATTGGAAGATATCATCCATGGTAAGGTAAGATAAAAAGTTATTGTTTTTGGAGTAAAAAATGTGACAGATATTTTTTTGCAGAACAAAGAAACTGAAGAAATGAAAAATCATTTAATGGAAAGAATTAAGATTTTATATAATCAGTTCGAACAATTTGCACAGGAGAGAAACAAAGAATTAGAAATGAAAGATTCGGAATTATTTCAGAATGATGTAAAGAAAAAGAAAGATGTAGAAATGCTGAATAACAAAATTTTTGGTTTGGAAATGAAGCTAGACTCAAGGATAAAAGACGTACAGTTAAATGATGTATTTCTCAATACATCATTATTATTATATATTATATTTTAATATTGTATTTAGGAGGAAACGTTGCAAACTACATTAGCTGAGCAATATAATATTTTGAGAGATGAAATTATGAATTGGAAAAGTGAAATAGAATGTGAGACACAACAACAATACGAGAATCTGTTGTCCAAAGTTTCTGAATTGAAGAAAGCTGTTGCAAAATTAGAAAAATCGAAAGAAAAAAGTGTTTATGACCACGAGAAAAAAATGTTGAGAGTGATTCAGGTACTTAATTAAAAACTGTAATAGTATAGTTACATAAAAATGGTATTTTGATTTTATACATGTCATGTAATCTATGTTGTCTTTCAGAACAAAGATTTGGAAATAAAAAGCTTGCAGTTACAATTGCAAGACCAAAAGAATGAATTCTCTACAATTTTAAATACTAAAAAGCATAGTGAAATAGATAATATTGTCACACTTTTAGAAAAGAGGTACAAAACATTGTTAGCAGAAACTGAGGCATCAAAAGAATCTCAAACACAGGAATATCTTAAGGTATTCAACGCTTTGTTATTAATACATTTATTAATTATATTTTCTAAATTTCAATATTAATTTTTGATGTTCAAACATTTCTAGAAAATAGCAGAATTAGAAGATCAAGTACTTAATCTCAAGAAATTTTGAATTAGATTTATAGTATAGTGAGAATATAAACTATAGTTTATAACATCGTATAATTATTATAATTATATAAATTATATCTTTATCATTAGTCTGTGAAAATAAATGTAATCGGTCTGCACATAATGTAGTGCAGTTATTATTGTATAGTCATACAACGTAGTTGTAGTCATTAATAGGATTTCTCTAAGAAAATCCATTTTAATGAAGTATCAGCCAGTAAACCGATGTTTTCCTCTCATTTTGTCGGTAACTGTGTCCTCTACCTTTATCTTGTCGCTAGGGAGTTTAACCCCTTAACCTTTTAGGTACGGCTGAATTCTGCGCGAGGCTATTTTCCTTGACGGCAGAGCATTAAGAACAGCATTAACACTCCTGTAAATCGATGTGAAGACAAAATAAGAAGACTAATAAGTTTAATTCAAACGGTGAGCGAGTGAGCTACTAGAGTGAGCCACTATAGTGGCGCGTCATGCCTAAGAGGTTGAACTTGTTTATGTACTATGTGGATTGATAACACGCGGTACATTTTATTTACGAATTTTAAAGTTGCAAAAACACAAGCAAAATGCCAAAAGTGCGAGTGGAGAAAAAGTCTCGTGTGCACAAGGATGTTGCAAGACAGGGTATGAAACAAATAGCTATAAATAATTGAACTATAACGGAAAATATAAATACATATTAATTTTATTTATTCACATTAGGTATTATGTTTAATACGGATATTGGACAACACATTTTAAAAAATNAGGTAAGATAAAAAGTTATTGTTTTTGGAGTAAAAAATGTGACAGATATTTTTTTGCAGAACAAAGAAACTGAAGAAATGAAAAATCATTTAATGGAAAGAATTAAGATTTTATATAATCAGTTCGAACAATTTGCACAGGAGAGAAACAAAGAATTAGAAATGAAAGATTCGGAATTATTTCAGAATGATGTAAAGAAAAAGAAAGATGTAGAAATGCTGAATAACAAAATTTTTGGTTTGGAAATGAAGCTAGACTCAAGGATAAAAGACGTACAGTTAAATGATGTATTTCTCAATACATCATTATTATTATATATTATATTTTAATATTGTATTTAGGAGGAAACGTTGCAAACTACATTAGCTGAGCAATATAATATTTTGAGAGATGAAATTATGAATTGGAAAAGTGAAATAGAATGTGAGACACAACAACAATACGAGAATCTGTTGTCCAAAGTTTCTGAATTGAAGAAAGCTGTTGCAAAATTAGAAAAATCGAAAGAAAAAAGTGTTTATGACCACGAGAAAAAAATGTTGAGAGTGATTCAGGTACTTAATTAAAAACTGTAATAGTATAGTTACATAAAAATGGTATTTTGATTTTATACATGTCATGTAATCTATGTTGTCTTTCAGAACAAAGATTTGGAAATAAAAAGCTTGCAGTTACAATTGCAAGACCAAAAGAATGAATTCTCTACAATTTTAAATACTAAAAAGCATAGTGAAATAGATAATATTGTCACACTTTTAGAAAAGAGGTACAAAACATTGTTAGCAGAAACTGAGGCATCAAAAGAATCTCAAACACAGGAATATCTTAAGGTATTCAACGCTTTGTTATTAATACATTTATTAATTATATTTTCTAAATTTCAATATTAATTTTTGATGTTCAAACATTTCTAGAAAATAGCAGAATTAGAAGATCAAGTACTTAATCTCAAGAAATTTTGAATTAGATTTATAGTATAGTGAGAATATAAACTATAGTTTATAACATCGTATAATTATTATAATTATATAAATTATATCTTTATCATTAGTCTGTGAAAATAAATGTAATCGGTCTGCACATAATGTAGTGCAGTTATTATTGTATAGTCATACAACGTAGTTGTAGTCATTAATAGGATTTCTCTAAGAAAATCCATTTTAATGAAGTATCAGCCAGTAAACCGATGTTTTCCTCTCATTTTGTCGGTAACTGTGTCCTCTACCTTTATCTTGTCGCTAGGGAGTTTAACCCCTTAACCTTTTAGGTACGGCTGAATTCTGCGCGAGGCTATTTTCCTTGACGGCAGAGCATTAAGAACAGCATTAACACTCCTGTAAATCGATGTGAAGACAAAATAAGAAGACTAATAAGTTTAATTCAAACGGTGAGCGAGTGAGCTACTAGAGTGAGCCACTATAGTGGCGCGTCATGCCTAAGAGGTTGAACTTGTTTATGTACTATGTGGATTGATAACACGCGGTACATTTTATTTACGAATTTTAAAGTTGCAAAAACACAAGCAAAATGCCAAAAGTGCGAGTGGAGAAAAAGTCTCGTGTGCACAAGGATGTTGCAAGACAGGGTATGAAACAAATAGCTATAAATAATTGAACTATAACGGAAAATATAAATACATATTAATTTTATTTATTCACATTAGGTATTATGTTTAATACGGATATTGGACAACACATTTTAAAAAATCCATTAATAATTCAAAGTATGGTAGAAAAAGCTGCCGTTAGATCAACAGATGTTATATTGGAAATTGGTCCTGGTACTGGCAACATGACAGTAAAATTATTGGACAAGTGTAAAAAGGTTATAGCATGCGAATTAGACACTAGAATGGTAGCTGAATTACAAAAGCGTGTTCAAGGTACGCCGTACCAAGCTAAACTGCAGATCATGATCGGGGATGTTTTAAAGACAGAACTACCTTTCTTTGATTTGTGCGTTGCCAATATACCGTACAAGATATCATCACCCTTGGTGTTTAAACTACTTTTACATAGACCATTGTTCAGGTAATTTACAATATGTAGGTAGTAAAGAAATATAAAAGGACTAGTTTTCAGAACATTATGCTAATTTTTAACATATATATATATATATATATAGGCCACACAAGAGGAAACAGGTTTGATCAGCACATTATTTTCTACAGATGTGCCGTACTTATGTTTCAAAGAGAGTTTGCTGAACGTTTGGTGGCTAAACCAGGAGATAAACAATATTGTCGTTTAAGTATAAATACTCAGTTGTTAGCAAGGGTAGACATGCTAATGAAAGTAGGAAAAAATAATTTTAGACCACCTCCAAAAGTGGAATCAAATGTAGTTAGAATAGAACCTCGCAATCCACCACCTCCTATTAATTATCAAGAATGGGATGGTTTGACACGAATTGCATTTGTTAGAAAAAATAAAACTCTTTCTGCAGCATTTAAGCAGACCACAGTATTAACAATGCTGGAGAAAAATTTCAAGCTTCATTGTAGTCTTAATAATAAGGTGAATAATATTGTAGAATTGATGAAAAACATGTTTGAATTATTTAAAAATATTTCTTTTATATAATATTTAGACAGTACCAGAGGGATTTGACATTAAAGAGATGGTGAACGATATTTTGCAAAAGGCAAATGCTGAGTATAAACGTGCCAGAACCATGGACATAGATGATTTCATCAGGTATAACGAGTTGTGTGTTTACACTGGTTTGTGCATTACGATTTGTGCTCGATTTCATAATATAAATTTTATTTTAGCCTTTTACATGTATTCAACGCAGAGGGAGTTCACTTCACATAATTCAGAGTTCAAATGATGCAAACGCAAATGTAAATTATGCATTCATAAAATACGTATTGTTTCAATAAGGGACGAACAATAAATTTTGCTGAAAAAAATAGGAAAGTAAAATATGATTTAAGCCTGTTGTCAATCATAAAAATATGTAACAGCTTTAAAAAGAAGGGGAAATCAGTGTTACCTGTTACAAACCAGTTATTTTATGATTTACGTATAACATGTATAATATACATATAACATTTCTAGGTTTACCTACTTTACAAAAAATTATATTTATGTGAACATTTTAATTAAATTATTTGTTTATAAGATACACGTATATTTACAAACATTCTTTGGGAATTAAGATCGTAAAGAAATATACCCAAATTTATTGTACATTGATGAAGATAATAGCAATTATAATCATACAATTTGTGAATCTTTTTGTGTGTAGAATATGCGTTGCTCTATAACACGCTAGCCAGAACCATGGTACCTTTATCTGGGTATTCTTTTTTTTTTTATCCAATCGATTTATACCGAAGAAAGAATTATAAATATGAAAGAACAGTTAATGTCGGAACTTTTATACAGATTCTTCATATATTATTTTTATAACAGAAATGGAAGCCATATCCTCGTTTTAAAAGGCAAAGGAATGAAACAATATGAATGCATATTTTGTATGACGCAGTACTCTTCTAGTCTTCTCGTAAAGAATGTTGCCTCTAAACCGCAAATCAGTGATACACTATGCTTCATCATTGTTTGTAGTTTATGCACGCACGATTGGTTTAGAAAAAGGTTCAGTATAAAGCTGTTCGATCCAAGGTTCGTTCATCAGTAGCATCTTCGTCAATTTTTCGAGTTAATCAACGAATACATGCATCCTCGCGATGCCATTGATTTTGATTTGGTGTTACCCTGAGATCTTCTATGGCTCCTAGCATCTCTCAGGAACTTGCCTTTCTTTATTTTGCATTTATTTGAATCATTCTTCGAATCGGAATGTTTCAATGAACCACGAACGTACAATTTTTTTAAGTAAGGTGTCGTCGAGTCAATCGTGATCGCATAGACGAGCTGTACGTTCTACTGCTGGATCGTTTCCTCTTTTTACTTTTGTGCTTGTCTTTGTGTTTTGACTTTTTCTTATGCGTGTACGATTTACTTGAATAATTGCTGCACTGACTATGAGAACGAAAACGATCGTCGTCTGATTTCGAATTATTCAAAACCAGTGGTCTCGGTTTCTTCAACAAAACTAATTTCTTCCTTGATACGTCTCTATTCGAATTGCTATCGTCACCGCTAAGATCACGCAGAGATTCTCGTCGCCTAGAACTAACTCTTTTCTCTTTCTGAGATGTATAAGAGGAGGCGCTGCTACTCCTAGACATAGATTGCCAGTCATTCTTATACCTAGATTCCTTCCGGTGAGAATCCTTTGTGTCCGAAGTTTGTCTGGCTTTTTCGATGGCTCTGGTCAATTTCTCGGCTACCATATCGTAATCGCTCGAGCTGGTAGTGTAAGCCCTCTTTGATTTCTTAAAGGTTCGAGATTTAACGTTACTTGTTTCCTCCTCCGACTCGCTACTGCTGTCACTACTGTATGTTTCCTCGTCCAAATATCGGCTTTCCTTTTTAATTAAATCTTTACGAACACGTACCGTGCCTTTCGTAGAGGATTGCGAAGATCTTGATTTCTTGTCGTTTACTGTCTTCATCTCACTCTCGTGAGAGCTGGAATCACTACTGCTACTTATCCTTTTCTTTATTGTGCGCGAAGTTCTCTTCGTTACTCGTTTCCTTAGCTCGCTTTCTTCAGAACTAGACAAATCCCTCGCCCGATTGCGAGTCCTAGTCTCGCCCGAATGATTGCGTCTTTTGGTGGTCGTATTCCTCTTTGATTTTCTGGAACAACGTTGATATCTTTCGCCCCTTCTACAAATATAATCGAGATCTGAATCGGTGTCCGTGGACGATGAGATAGAGCCTCGTTTCTTAATGGTATGGGATGTGCTGGGTTGAGTTGAATTGTCTCCATAAAATGCAGACGTGGAAGACCTGAAATATTATTGAGATTGGTTATTCTTAAGATATATCTTAGAATCAAGTGTTTACTTACTGTGCGTTATCGTTCGCTGCTTGAGGAACGTTTACTTCTTCAGGATCTGAAGATACTAATTCTATAATTTCTGGCGTTCTCTCGTGGCGAGGTTTTACGTATCCAATTATTTCACAATCATTGTCGGACGAAGAAAAATCGGAGGAAATAGTCAAAACATCTGGTACGTTGAAAGGCATATCTGCAGGAAGGAACATCTGTCCCACAGTACTCGGACCTGATCAACAAAATTATTTTCAACTGTGGTCCAAATTTTTGTGTATAAAGTACATTGCTGGGAGAGATTAAAATTTACCAGGTACGCTAATTGTATGGGGTCCTGTGCTGGGTGTTACAGTATTCATTCTGAGATCTATTGCTTCATCCAGAACTCGGACATCTGAATCGTCAGAACTAATACTGTTGCTACTGGATGTTGGCGAATCGATATTTGGTACATATTCATTCGAAATTCCTAAAACAGAGTAAAATTTAATTTATATATCAAAGAATATGATATATCGTTTATATAATAGGACGAGTCATTGAAGAATGCTTGCAATAATTCGCAAGTCAATTTAGGTAACACAATTAAATGATTCATCGTATATAATGAAAGAAAGTACGACAATGTACCTTGAGGTAAATAGATCACAGACTGATCATACCCAACTAGATCGAAGTTAGTCCGTGCATAATTGAGTAGTTCATGTACAAAGTGATCCGTGAATGTTCCAAAATAGGGATGAACTAGATCACGGAACTCGGGGCTTCTGATGTCGTATTGGATGAGGGCTTCCAATATAATTCTCAACACATACGCGCAATGCTGGGTATTGTTATTAAGTAACGCTTGTAATTCTCTATTTAACCAAGGGATGAGTCGATTCAACTCTCTTGGTTCTCTCCTGTGAACGAACTATAGTTACTCCCTGTACATTAACTCTTCGCGCGACAATGGGATAGAAACTAACCGATAATAATCTGCGCTACAATCGCGAAAACGACCAAATACATCAGGCAATGCTGTAGCCCAAATTCCATGCATGTAAATGGACCGACGATAAACAGAATGGTTTGCACGTCTACGTAAACGTTCTCCAATGGGAACTTGTGGAGCTATGCTTGGCAACTGTTCTCTTCTTGCAACTTGCTCTGGATTAAGCAATACTTCGTGTGGATTTCGACTATGTCCCATCCTAGTTGTTCTAAAAGAAATTAAAACAATTTATGTAGAATTGCCAATGTGAAATTGTCTAGAAGCACAATTTTGTATACCTATAATGAAAACGATGCCCAATGACATCCACCGAATGACCAAGATCTAAATTGATATCCAAAGTAGCCAGCTCCCTAGGCACGTGGTACTGATCATAATCTTCTTCTGATCTAACATTATGTATAATGGATTTAAAAGTCTGTTTGCACAGTGGACACTCTGTTTTTATTTTGGACCATTGAAGCAGGCATGTGAAACAAAACTGATGAAGGCAGCTGTCTGTAAACGATGTGTTTACCAGCTTGCCCAAACAAATACTGCAGTTTGGAGGTGGTGACACAGCACCATCACTTCGATCGCTGCTATCAGGATTTTGCACAGGTGCTTCGGACTTTATAGGCTCTTCTACTCCCGGAGCAGAAGCTTTTATTTCTAATGGACCCTCCATTAAGCCTCAGTGTTTTTACCGTTCCATTAAAAGAATCTGTCCTAAAACATATCACACAATATTGCATTAACATAATATCCTGACAGTTTGTGTTTCATTACTTTATAAATGCAATGTTTCTTAATGGTTTATGGTATTCAGAAAATGGTGTTACATACAAATACAATCCATTCAAATGGTTGTTTATCTAAATTTATACGAAAACAATATTTTCGAGAATAATTTCTGATTTTTTGCTAAAAATGCAAAATATATATAATTTTCATATAAATAACTAAGATAAAGTGAAATGAATATAATCTCAGTAAAGGAACAATCTACAATACTTCGCGATTTTTATTCTACATCATTGGAAAGTTCAAGAAGTAAATTATAATATGAGCTATGCAATTAACCAACTAGATTTTATGAATGGTACTGTTCGAAAAAAATGTAACATCGACTAAGAAAAATGCGTCCGTGCTACATAAATAAAATAGTACTCGATGTGGGTATGGGGAAAAATAGAAACGATGCTATTTACGTTTTCGTCGAGATTGATCTGTCACAAATGTGAAATAGCAGTTACTTGACGAGACAAACTTTCGTACGCGTAATGCGACAAACGAGAAAAAGACCGAATTTACTTTCCACGGATTCTTTTCATCGAAAGGGAGAAAAAAAAGAGTAAGATACGTCACGTAGAGTGTGTAGAAGGCGTCATAAAGCTGTTTGATAATCGGTATGTTTCCATTTTATTCAACTTGTTATTGATTATCGATGTCACTATTTTTTCCCATAAATCATGCAGTACGACTGGCATGATATCTTACCTCTAACGTAACTCGCTGGGAGTCTAATAACCAGCTTCGACAAGTCAAACAATTAACGTCTCGGCGAAGCTATCTTTTTCGAGACCGAGTAGTCTTATAAAAGTCCATGATCACAAAGCGGAAACTGGCGTAGCATAATACCATGAGTGAGACAGATACCTAACGATACTGAGAATGATTGTCAGTGATGTCTCGCGTAAAAGTCCCTAAAATTTCACATAGCCAATCGCTTGTACAGATTGTAGATGGAGCTGATGCAAGTCCAGGAGCATATTTTCTAGATTCTAGATTCTAGAGTACAAATTGATACAAATGATTGTGCAACATTTTACAAAAATATAGTTTTGTTTCGGATATGATAACAAAACCTCTACGGTAAATATTTCTTAAGTTGTTCAACAGAATTGACTAACTTAATGGCAATGAAAAAAGAGCACGTGCTACCAACATTTTGATATATATGTAACTGTGAAATGTGTATGTTTTGTTAATTAGCACAATTCAAACTTTTTACGTTAATATTTAATGCAGGTAGAAATTTTTAATTTTAATAATGGTGAAGAACAAAGTTTATTAACAGGATTCTTTGCCTGCTAACTGTACCGATATTCAAACTGGTTAGGAATATTTGAGATACATATTGTAGTCATTATGTAGTGTAGAGATGTCCAAGAGGTTAGCTATGAGATTCCTAATGATGTGTGTACACCAATGTACATTACACGACGGACTCCCTGGCTACACTACTAACACCAACCAGTATCAACAACAGTACTAACCTTTGACGTATTATAAAATGGAAAAATTTCTCTTGCTGAACCTGAAAGTAACACCTGATGAACGTAAGCAGATAACTGGTACATTCAAAACATTATGTACAGACGAAGACAGAATAGAATTTACTTTAAATGTGATGTTAGAATATAATATAATTCCTGAAGTACATCGAAATCCTAAAAATGCTGAGGAAGCTGAGAAATTTAGAGCACAAGGTAATAAGATATATGTTTCTAAACCATTGACAAATGTTTCTTGCATAGAAGCTTTAAAACTATACACTAAAAGTATAGCGAACGCACCATGCTCATCCAAACAGCTTGCTCTAGCGTATGGTAATAGATCTGCAGTTTTGTTAAAGTTGCACAGGTATGAAGAGTGTATTAGAGATATAGAGCGAGCATTAGTTTTATCATGTCCAGATAATTCAAAAGCCAAACTTTATATGAGGAAAGCTGAAAGTTTGAAGGCTTTGCAGAAAAAAAATAGTTCTCTGGAATATACCAATGATACAGAATTAAATAATACAAATTCTTATTTTGAAATAAAGAGTTATAACAATGAAATTCCATGCGCATCAGATGCATTAAGCTTGATATATAATGAAGAATATGGTAGGCATATTGTGGCGAATCGTAGAATAAATCCTGGAGAAACAATTATCACAGAAACGTATTATTCAAAACTATTACATCAAGATAAATTGTATACTCACTGCTCAAACTGCTTAGAAGTGTGCTATGCCAACATACCTTGCAATAGTTGCATTTATGCCATGTATTGCTCCGAAGAATGTAGAATAGAGCAATGGAAGAAGTGTCATGATATGGAATGTGCAGTATTTCCCTCAATGTTGAAGATGAAATATATTACAGAAGATTTATTTAGCTTAAGATTAGCCATACAGGCTGTGAAAGAAAGTAATATAGACGATTTAAGAAAAGAATTGGAAGAAGTTGATAGGTACAATGGTGAATATATTATATAGGAAGACATTTCTAAATTATTTTTGTTTCAGATTAATTATATTTATTCCTTATTGTTATATTAATATTTTCAGATCCTCGTACAAAAGGTTTCTCTAAGAATGGAATTTTTGAAAGTAATCGGTACAGAAGTTTATTAAGTCTTATAACCAATACTGAAAAACGTTCATTCGATGATCTGTTTACCAGATGTCTGGATAGTTCTTTCATTTTGTATTTTTTGGCTACATGCACTAACATGTTCGGAAAGCCACTGAAGAATGATTTGTCTCTATTAATGAAGAATCCTGATGTCATATTTGTTGGTGGTCTGGTGTTAAGACATCAGCAAGTAATTCCTAGTAATGCACACTCGGTAAGTTGTCATGAAAAAAATTAACACACAAAATAATGATTAAATCGAGTTATAAATAATTTCTATTTGGGGAAAAAATTGTAACAATCCTTTTATTATTTGATGGTAGAAAGATGCAATAAGTCCCTGCATTAATAATTATATAATTGATTGTATTACATTTACTTGTTCAAATAATTTTCTAGTAGCATAAAATTCAAAGCATAACAATGAAATTGATATTTTCAGATTTCAGAGGAACACGTAGTTACCGAATATCGTGGTGCTGGCATATTGCCATTTTCCAGTTTGCTCAACCATAACTGCAATGCAAACACGACAAGGGTTGATAGGGGCAAAAATATGTCCGTAATAACCATATATCCTATTAAACCAGGTGAACAGGTACGTAGTAATATATGAAAACGCTCAGAAAAATTATGTTATCATAATTTATCAATGTGAATTTTCCAGATATTTTGTGATTATGGTTATCAATATGGCCTTGGTAAAAAATCTGAGAGGCAAATGAAACTTTTGCGACAGTTTCATTTCAACTGTAATTGTGTAGCATGCCGGGAAGATTGGCCAGAATACTATTACTTAAAATCTGCAATAACTCCTACAATAGATAATGTAAGCTGCTTAATAATATAATTGAACTCAAAAATGATCAGTTGATAAAAATTGTATTCTCTACTTTTTTGATCAAGGACCTCAAGAGCAAAATCCTTATAATGCTATTAAAATTCTCCGACTACTTTGACATCGTTAAAGCAGGCGACCTGGATGATAAACCTTATATTCTACCTGACATAATCGAAATGATTGAAATTTTACATGAAAAGGTGCCATTACCTAACAGAGAAATTACTAATGCGGTAGAGATTATGAAACAGATCTACGCTCTACAGGGAAATGTTTTTAGGCTTCCTCAACTGTAAAGAGATTTTCCCCTTTTATATGTATACATCAGAAGTCAATCAATGTCAAATTTTTTAACAAGATAACAATTTAGATAATTAAGTCTTTTAATTTAGGCATTTCCTAAGAAGGGTATCTAGAGTATTTTCTTTAGCTATTTACTATAATTAGATAAACATGGAAATATATTTATTGACAAATAATATTGAAATAAAAAGGTTTTGACAATAAGAAAATACTCGAACTGTAAACAACAATTGTTTTTACATTGACAGGCTTCTGAGTAATTTTTAACTTTCTGACCATCTTTTTCCTAAAATTTTCTTGTCTATTTTATTAGTAAGATGGTTTTATAACTTTATTAGTAAGTGTAATAATTTTATTAGTAAGTGTTTTGTGATATTATAAATCATTTACAATATGTATGTACGCATATATGTGTGTTGTATTATATTCAGATCCATGGATCGTTAAATAAAAAAATATAAATTTAATATTTTATTTTTTTCGTTTGAATTATTTACAACTGGAAATTTGAATGAATCGTATTTATAAATTATTAATCGCTCGACAAGAGGGATTTAAAGCCTATAGTAAAAATGTACAATTTGAGGTAGAGATGTACTTAGATAGGACGCACATAAACAACTGCAAGTATTTATGTAACTTATTCGATTTTTAAATACTGCTTAATCCTGACTATACTCAACCTATGCTCTTACTCTTCAGGTTTGTGTTATGAATAGCCAGCTAACTAATAATGGTAATAAAATAGTTACTATAACAGACTGATGCAGGTTACTCGAACCATTGCTATCAAAACTGTTAGGTTTATGGTTTTCTGTTACATAACTGATCCTCCACTCAACACCTGGGTACACAGGGCTGTGTTCCATAAAGTATTGTGAAAGTACATCTGCTGTAGTCGAACCTTAAATAAAATATGGATTGTTTACTAAAAAGTAAGTATATTTCATTGGAAGTGTTACGATTAAGAAGTAAATAGCATACCCAAAGGATACGTCTTGAGATCCTTTAACATAGCGAATCCATCACCACCAGATTGCATAAAATCAGTCACAAGCACCATATAGATTTCATTCTTTTTTAACTCACTATATGATGGAATACTGCAATTTGCACATTGTACATATACTGAAACCACTTTAGAATTGCTTGGTTTAGTTAAGTCATAAACCACCTGTGAGATTGATGAAACCACGTTAAAAGAGGTATTGCGTTTTCAACAAAATAATGCCCATGATTTCCATCCATACCTGAAGACCCGAGACTTGTATAAATCCACCAGGCAAGTTTGAAGTTGTGTTTAAGTTCAAGTAATAAACGCTCCATTCTAGAACCGATAGCATCGTTTCTCCAGTCATTTTTACTTTTATTATAGAATTATGAAAAGGTAAAACACTAAGAATATCGCCCCTGGTAACTTTATCATCGTTGCTCCTGCTGATAGAAGTTCTAATACTTCCACTGTTATGGAAAGCTATTGCTGCATCTGTCCAGCCATCTTTGTTGCCATACTCCCGAGCATTAAAATCGATCATAGAATCAGTAATCAAGTTGCCAAGATTGCACTCTACGCGTCTGCAGACTTTACTATCTCCGTTGAGGAAAACATGGGTTTTTCCAACTACTGTGTGGCTCACATTATTAACGGCTGCTCTCATTCCTTCTAGTTCTTCCAAAATGTCCTTTGCCTGAAAATTTAAACAATGACAGAATATACTAAAGAATACCTAAGGTATTTTTATGATACTTGACATCTTACTTTTTAATACAACTGAGAAGTCAAGAGAAGATATTTTATGCTAAGAAATATTATTATGTAAAGTCTATAAAATTATTAGTTATAGTAAAATTATAGTTTCAACAAAAGCAAAGAATTTAAAACACTTAATTAGTTGTATTCACATAATTTATTACCTTTTAAATTATCCATGAATAAATAGTTATAACAGTTTTCTACTTAGAAAATATATATATATCCTCATACATTCTTCGTCCTTGTTGTGCCATTTGCCTTTCCTTGTCTTACATATTAGGGATATAGAGTTTTACTCTAGTACCACTTCACAAAAATCGTTAATAATTTCTTTATTACGAACCAAATATGTTTAAATTTATTACTGTAATAATTGCCAGAGGTCTATTCTAATTTTATCAATTATACATAATCATAAATGATATGGTAGACAAGGAAAGCCGTTTGGTAACGAGTAAAATAGCCATCAGTGGCGCCATCTACGGTGGCGGGTCTGTGAACTAACTTTCCCTATCTCTAGCATGTGTAAGACAAGGATAGATATAGTGTGCGACAAGGAGAATAGATGTCCCGGTTGTGCCACCAACTTTTTAGACGGACTTCGAATTCCCTGGTAAGTGGTAGGAACACATGATATAGATGGAGGTATCCGACAAGGACAAACTTATGCGTTTTACGAAGCGAGAGAAGGACGCACAGCGAGACTCTCCCTCGACGTATCAATTCGAGGGAAGATTCGTTAATAACTCAATTACCAGGAATAATTTATAAACATTTGCGATTGAAGCATGTAGAATGGACCTTCAGTTACTTTCACATATAGGTTTTGATCAGATTTTATGCGTTATTAGAGAGTTATTAATTAATTTTGACAAGCAGTATCCCCGCGTAACCTCAA